TGGCCGAAGCACGGCAAGGACATACACTCCTCGGTTCGGGTCCAACATCCAACATCGTAATGCAAACTTAATAAGATGTACGCTGTGCATGTCGTCTGTCAGTGGATACACATGCACTATCAGTTCAGACTGCACTGACAGTTAGACAAACAGACAAGCCGTCCAAGGCCGTCAGATTGTCAGTCGGAGGGGGAAGTCCACGTCTAAGCGGACAGACGGAGCAGGAATCGGTTGCAATGGCTGCGAGCATCTTGTGTTTTTTCTATAAATTATTTCCGTATGTTGTGATCCGTAAATACTTGATGTTTAAAACTAAAGTGCACTTTTTCCCAGACTACAAAAAACTAGAAGTTGGTCAGCATCATAATCACAGTCGACGGCAAATAGATTTTTTCCCGACCCTTAATAATCTATCTAGATCTAAGCGTAAACTAAGACTTTTAGGTACTTTATTGAATCACGCCTGTTACATTTTGGGACAAATATCAAAAGGCTTTGCCTGTGATTAGCTCCTGAAAACCAATTTCGGTGGCATTTTACAGGGAGCTCCGCATAAATTTAAATAATCGAGATTCGTATCCTATCTTACATAAACGTGTATCCCCATTTTGCAGCAGCCATCAGCTCGTCAACTCCTTGGGTAGGCAAGGAATGTGCCGTGTTATTATCTATTAACTGCCATCATGGCAGCCTTCTTCAAGGACCCTATAAGCCTGCTCATCCGCACCATATTCTGTTGCGTGACTGCCGGTGTAAGCATGGGGGCAATATGTCTGGCAGGCACATATGAGTGGACCTAGGAGAGACAGCAATTAGGGAAACGTCGGGTCCTTCATTACGCTGATCAATGGGTCTCCTCGATGCCACTTATAGACAGTTCGGTACACGCACAAGCACACATGCGACACTCCGAACAGGAAGTGTTGACTGGCCACAAATCTGCCAACGTCTTGCGGATGAAACTTGGTCTTCTTACTCAGGGCTTACTACGTAATACCCTTGCTAATGGCATTATTACTTGACCAAAAGCTTGCGAGTTGAGAAGCGGTAAATCTGTATGACTATTTTTAGTGATTTGCTGTAGAACCATACTACTAAGAAATGTAACCAATTTATACTTTACTTTAAACTATGCAGTGTTTATGGTTTACAAGGGCATTTTAAGCTTCGGTCTTAGCCAGCCTTATTTTTCTGTTTTTTTTTTTTCTATCTTCATGCTGTGGCCGCCGGCACTTGCGGCTTTATTGTTGGCATTGTCTAACATCTTCAGCTAGTTGTCTTTTTTTCTGGCCTGCCACTAAAAAACGGTTATTTACTCTGCCTGGGGCTCTTAGCTTCAGCTTTAGCTCGGCTTGTCGCACACTCTTTACTTTCTCCACCGCCACTTCCCTCCCCGAGGCTTTGGATGTGTCTCCTCCCTGTTGCCTCTGGCCGGATCTCCCTCTGCGCCTATGTGTGTGTCTACTTAACACAATAAACACTCAATTTTCGAGCATGTTTTGTTTGGGATTCCATTCAACTATGGCTCAGACTTGGGGAATCGGAGCAGTGCTCTGCTCGCAACTTGGCCAAGCAGCCCGCAACTGTTTGCTTAGGCAGTGGGAAACTTTCTGGTTGGCTCCGGCCTATAAATGTATTTGAAGATTGTCAATTGTTGACTGTGGCCGGGCGCCAGTCCGCCCCAGCATTTTGATTTGTTTTCAATTGCTTGGCTACTCAAAAAGTTAAAAGTTTGTCGATCATAATCCGGAAAGAAGTTGACACCAAGTTTGATTTGCTTTAAATTACTTGATTTTGCCCTTGGCTTTTCTCATATTTACATCTTTCAAGCGTTTTGATTAAAGAAAATGAATCCATTTCTCTTACGTAAATGTACAACGTTATAAAAGTCTTAATTTGTAAAATACTTTCAAGGCTTTTCAAGCTTCAACTTTTAAAGGAAAGCAAGCTCTATTTTCATTAAACTTACTCAGATATTCAAGTCTTGTTAGTTAACACTTTTCGTGTTCATGAAAGGGTCTACATTTTCCGGATCTTTTGCTCTCGCTGACCACTGAAAATACGTTGTTTTACTTGCCTCAAGCACAAGGACCTCGGTCCCTGGACAGACGACCCTTCGCCCGGCCGCCACATTTCTTATCAATCTTAAAAATGCATGAATAATTAAAATATGCAAATTTATGCTTTGTGGGCACTCGTCGATGTCGATGTCGCTGTCGCTCGCTCGGTCGGCTCCTTTAAAGCCAAAAAGGAAAGTTTGCTTTAAGCATTTCCCTCGGAAATGTTTGCCATGCCAACACCTCCTTTGAGTGACAGTCATATACATTCTTGCGTAGCCTCCCCATCTGCGACCTGTCTGTAAAAAACACATTTGCCATCATCTCCTTTGACCAAAGGCAGAGTTCGAAAAACAAACAAACAGTTTTTTAGAAGAAAAAAACGGCGCGAAAATGCGCCTTTTGAAATGGACTCGATAAGGCAAACACCCGAGATTCCGGACTCCATTCAGCTTCGGACGGGACGGAGGGTCAGTGCCTCCGAAAAGCAGACATGATGCAAATAAAGTCCTTTGTGCCGCTGTGCCTTTGTACCCTCTAATGATCTTTATCCTTCCAAGATACACGATACACAAGCACCTCATATGAATGGAACTCGAGAGTGTGTGGTGCACCTTTTATTAGCTAATTCATTAAAAGCTGTCCCGAACACCAAGGCGGAGGTGTCGCTGGTCTGTCAATATTCTATGGCCCCAGTCTCTCTCGGCAACAAACAAATTCGCACTTTGGCGTCAGCGTAATTGAAATGCATGAAAATGTCGCATGAATACAGCAAATGCCAAGGCGGCAGCTCTCCTGGATCCAACTGGGCTTTTCCCCCTGCTGTTAGCCAGCAATGCGATTTTAATTCTTTTTTGTTGAACAAAGGGTTCTACCTGGATGTGTGTACATAATTCCTTGCATGAAGTTTATGCCACCTTTTTCAAAGAAATTGCTCAAAATATTTCATTAAAAAGAGAAAATTCCAAAGAAAATAAATTTATATTTAGTTTGATATATTGTAAAAGCCATAATTGATTCGTTTGAATGTAACAAATGTTAAACGGTCACCACTTAACCTCACAAGTGCTTTAATCTTTTAACAATTGTAGCAATAGTAATCTAATACGTTTTAAATCATGAAAATATTTCCCTTTTTTAAGTAATAAAAGTTTAGAAATATTTTAAGAGCTTCACGATTATTCAGTATTTGTTTCTGTCTGCACTCATTTATATTTGAAGTCAACTAGAACGCACTATTCCACATTGCTTAATATATATTTTGCTGTATTATTTTACCATTCTTTTTTTTGGCACAGTTACAGTTTGTATTGTTTTCCATGGTTTTATGTGTTTATTTTTAACTGTCGCTCTGATTCACAGGGGCAGAATCTCTTTTTCGTTATTCATTTGTGAGGAAGTGACACTGCAACAATAAATAAAGCAATGAGACAAGCGAGAGGGGAAAATGACTGAAAATGGCTAGGAGACAATATGTGTGATAAAAGGATGAATGCGGGACGTAGGGTATCCGGATGTGTGCAGGATGATGATGATGATGGCAGCGCCAAATGTCAACAGCATTACTGTTGTTGTTTTGCATTTTATGCATTTGTGTGCAAGCGTACGTTTAAGTTAAGTCCATGCATGCATTCCAACTACCTCATTTTTTTGTCTGTATGTTAAAAATTTTAATTTCACGGTGAAATCACGCCAACATACCTAGGACCAAGTACATATAATATGCTTCAAACTCAAACAACCAAGTTAGAGGTAAAGTAAGGTTTATCTCAAGTTTTAAGTTGGCCAGAAAAGGTTACAAACAAGTAATATTCAATGTGTTTAATAAGTAAAGTCATGTAACTTAATTGCAATTTTAAATTTAAATATTTAAATATTAAACAAATATTAAACAAAATGAAAGAAAGGGAGAGGTCAAAACAAAAATATCCTTTCCCGTAGAGAACGAACAGGATCCTTTAAATGGCATGACAGCTGGTGCCCGGAGACGGTGGCAGCTAGAATCATCCGGATGCTCATTCGCATCTGCATCCTCATTGCCGCCGCTCCCTCTTTCTCGCTTCGCTTTTGCCAATTGCCGTGGCCACCGACGGATTTAATTGGAAAATGTAAATGAGCTTTGTTCATTTGAAAGATGCAGTTTGGAGAGCGGATGACAGTGGCAGCCGGGAGCACTTGACAGTCACTACGGGAGGTTTCTTTAAGCTTGTCGCAGAAAGTGAAAGAAGTAAATTGTTGAGGGGGAGGGAAACAACAAAACTGAAATTCTTTTAAAGTCAAACCGACCAGCGTTTCAACAAAAGAATGTTGCAAAAAAGAGGGTGTGTATTCTGACCTCAACAAAATGCATATGTGCTTAGAAAACTCTTTTTTTCTTAGCTTCTTTTGCAAAATAAAATGTTTAGAGAACTTGATACATTTTCTATATAATATATATGAATACTTTATATATTTATTTAAAAAATATATACAAAATATATATCATTTTAACCAGTAACTCCAAATATATTTATATAAATTTTCGTTTAAATTTACATTTTAACTTTTGTTAATATAAATATATTGAATTTTATATTGTATTCTCAGTGTACTTGTGCGTGATTGTGGGTGTGTAGGGACACCATTGTTTGACTTACAAAATGGCACAAAAAAAAAATACCAACAAAAGCGACTGACGACACAGGCAAGCTCTTTCCCATACAAAAAAAAAAGCAGAAAACGGCAACTTCCGTATATAAAAGAGTCGTGTAAAACAATACTTTTCGCGGGTGTGTGTGTGTGTGCGCACTACGACGCCATATTGTTTGTCCAAAACTCCTAGGAAAGCTCCCCTCACGATCCCCTTCTTAAGCTACATATGAACAATTTTCGCTCGCTACTTGTATTTTTTTGCAACATAATAATTTTAACCCTTTGTTGATTGCGCCTTTCTCCTCGTTGCAGGCGATAAAACACCCGCAGGCTTTCCGGTTATAACACAAAGTCCAGGCACCCGCGTCATTGAAGTGGGTCACACGGTCCTCATGACATGCAAAGCTATCGGCAATCCGGCACCAAACATTTACTGGATTAAGAATCAGACAAAGGTTGATATGAGCAATCCGCGATATTCGCTTAAGGATGGTAAGTACAGTCACAATAAAAGTTAAGCCAGGGTTAAGAGAGTTTAAATATATAAAATAAGAACAAAAGACAATTAAAAGTTGATAAATATAACAGATAAATTATAAATACTTATGTATTCAAAATATTTACTGAATGCATTTTGTTTTGTGGTTTTTATTACAATAAATATGGAAACCATATAGGATCTTAAAGTTAGCAGGACATTTACTTTTTTCTATAATTTAAATTAATTCTATATTGGAACCCATAGTTAAGTATATTTAATAATACCCTACCAAGTTAGGGTAGGTTCACGACTTGTCATAGAAAGAAGCACTCGCAAAGTAATAAATGAAAGACAAAAAACTCCAGCAACTGCCTTAACAATTTCAAAATGTCAGCCTGAGTGTACTTAAAAATATGGTATATACATTATTTTCCCACTTGCCCCGCGTTGTAATTCCACGAAGTGGTTCATTATCTTTAATCTGTTCAACATGTGCCAGGACCCATCCATCCATTGGACCTTTGCCTTTCTAGTCCCCAGGTTGTATCCAGGGCCTTTTTGAGCAGGTTCCATCTTCTTAATTTTTATTTGCGCTTTCTTCCCTACGTTCATTTGAATTTCTTAGGAGTTTACTTACGCTTCAACGCATTTTCTGTTGCAAGTTCTTGGACGCTTAGTTAACGTTTGACTTTTGTCAAGCTACCTGCTTTGAGCTGCTCCCACTGGTACTCTCAAATTTGCAAAAGTTTGTCCTTTGAAGCGTAGGCCAAGAGACCTTTTTCTGCTTACGGAAACTTTCAAAATGTCAACATAATGTCGCTAGGTCCTTTAATCAGGCATCCCAGCATTCACAGCATTTAATAATTAGATGTTCAATGTCAGGTCGCATCGTTAGCGCCGATCTCCGGGCTGCTGTGTCACATCAAATGGCGGGCCAAACTAACACAAAACCTGCCAGTAGCAGGAGCAAGGGCCTCTGGTCATTAGAGGCTCAAATATTGACATAAATACTGACATTAATATGCATTAAAGAGTGCCTTTTAAAACGACATCAATAACGGTCACGTTGACAACCAAATCGGGCGGGCGTGGCAAAAGGCAGGCAGGAGTTGAGTGTCGGGAGTTGAGCGTAGCTGGCGGGCATTATTTCAATTGCCAGGACGCGCTGATCGGACAAATGTTTTTAATGACATGACCAGCAGGAGGCTTCGGCCTCCCACCTAGCCCAGGCATTAACAATTGAAACGTGTTGAGCCTGGCAAAAAGAAAACAACAAGGATGACAAAAAACATTGTGCAACGACCTAATCCCGGACCTTGCCTATGGAGGAGAAGCGATGCTAATGAAATGGTCGCTTACGCGTAATGACAGCACGCCGAACAATTGGGGGGGAGCTCCATCAAAGCATTTTTTCCTCAAAGAGCTTGGCCTTTAAATGCTCTAAAATATGCCCTGTGGAGTGTTTAGTTAGAAGTGGATAGGTCCTCTAGCTATGATGGGTTTTTCAAAATTAAGTTTTAGTACTAAGAACTTGAAGACCTAAACCACTTCTTTCACTTTATTTTAATACAGAAAATACATGATACTAAAAATCTATTTAATTTAATAATGATCACTTAGTATAGTAGATTTTCCTATCAAAAAACTCTCCTACTCCTGTTTCACTTGACCACTTCAAATGGCCAGAAAACCAAACTATCCATCGCCATTTGTTGGGCTAGAGCAATGCAAATTAAAAACTGTTTCATGTATTTCCCCAAGGTAAAATAATTTCCACCGTTTCTACGATGGAACCTCATACAAACAAACATGGCCGAGGCATTTTTGTTGGATTTGGTTGGTTTTTTTTTGTTCGCTTTTCATGGCGGAATTGGGGGTCGACTAATTTAGGACAACACGAACCAAAGTGGCCATGTTCGCTTGTGGGCATGGTGGGGATGAGGGGCTGTAGCGGGTTAAATTAGTTTTACGTGGGCCAAAGTAACTTTTTTTTTTGTTGCAAAAAAAAAAGGTAAAGAATGAGTTTCAGGGAGAGCAGACAGCTCGGACTGGCACCATCTTTGGCGCGTTAAACGAAACGTAAAAGTATTTCCGCCAGCTAAATATCCTTTTGGGTGCCCTAAGAGTCCCTTTGCGTCCTTCCCTTGTCCCAACCGTGTGAATGCCTTAAAACGCGCCTTAAATTTATGAAAATAAATATTTTGCCCGCGGTGAGGCTTGGACTCGGACGGGTTCGCTCTATTGTAGACATTCTCGTCCCGGGTCCGCATTCTCGGAGTGCGGGAATATATATACACTTCTCGTAATAAGTTATTCAAGTCATGTGCCGTTTTATTCAATTAGCACTTTATGGTCCCTTATTGTACTCCTCCCACAGCCAAACGCAGCGGCCTTTTCCTTTGCGCGTTGATTTTTCGGTTATACGGCCGCCGCCTGCTAATTAGAGCCTGCAGGGACATGCGGTGGGTGGTGGGATGTGGGTGGTTTTTGGGCGTGGAACGGACCCAGCAGGGATACGTGAGTTATCAAATGAAAAGTAACTTGGCAGTCGTACTTCATTTATTCGCTCCATAATTAAATTATAACTTTATTATTTTAATAAAGCCGACTCGGGGTGCCTGCAGGCCCCCTTTTGCGAAAAGGCTTACTTCCATTCCTTTGGGGGCAACACAAATCGCCATCACTGAATATATACGTTAATGTGATTATTATACACTCCTAAATAAACGTAACCCTCCCTTTAGTTAGTAGAACAAAGTAAATAAAAAAGCAATAAAATTCAAGGCCAGGAAAAGCTATTATACAAATAATTATTTAAACTTAAAATCGCAGTAAGAGTTCAATATTAGTGTCTATATAGGTTCTTTTTGTGGATCATATTAGTTAAACTTTATTATTTCAGAGAAATGAGTTCCTATTTTAATAAAATACAAAGGATATTCTTTCGAAAATGTATAGAAATATCGAATTTCTACATCAGTTGTACAAAATAATTTTTAAACATTTTTAACAGCTTTAAAAACAATTTTTTTTGTATAAATGTAAGGGTATAAATATATCTACCAGATCCGTCAATATGCTCAATGTAGCATATGGCAAAAACGAAATGACAACGGTCGCACTTCGTTGCACAAATATATTCATAAATAATTTATTTTAAAATACCTCGTTTCCCGTTGGTAGTTAATTTAGTCCTCGGAGTCGATTCAAAGGGAACCGGACTAGCCCTAGAACGGTGAGGACAGCGAGCGACCAGCAACGATAATATTGAGTATTATACCTTTATTGTTTTTTCGCCAAGTAGTCCCTTAGGGCTTTTGTTCAATAAAAAAACATAAAAGAAGGAGTAAAAGGAAAGCCAATGCTGTAGTGAGTGACCACGGTTTATTTTTCGTCTCCTTTATTTTTTTTTAGAACGGTTCTGGCGCAGCGTCTGGGGAAATTACTTTCTCGGGGTTGAATTTCTTATGGGGGGGCGGAGAAAGGGTAGTAAAAAAATGTTTGGGTCTCTTTCAAATATCATAATTTGGCTTTTACGCAAAAGAGGCTTATCAGAAATTGGTTTCGCCTGAGCCAATTGTCTTAATGGTTTTGTGTGTGAGCAGATGAACTCGACTGGGCTGAAGTGTCAGCGAACGAACGGGTGTCAGGAAGCAATGGGAACGTTAATGGTTTCCTTTGTTTGATCAGGTGCAAGAGGGTCATGGGACTTTAGAGAACTTAACGACTCGTTTGTGTATAGATATTTGATTTCAATTTTCATTCATTGCTGATATTGAAAAGGGCCTTTAAGTATCACAACTAAAAAACGTTGAAATTTACCTGCAAATAATTAATTTTATATATTGTTTTAACTATGGTTATATGCCGGTGGATATTTTTCAATAAAAACCCCAGTTAAAATTAAGTGGAAGTTTCCTTAAGTGGATACTAAAGTTCAAACTAGCTGAATATTGAGTTTGAACGCTTGCGGGATTGCAGGGACATTAAACAACGAATGGCGATGAGGCCATATAGCTGCTCAGCAGGTTAACCTTTATGGAGAAAACTTAAAATCAACTTGGACCCCTTCTTGAGTCTCGTATATACAGGAGCCCTTGTTGTACTTTGGCGAAGCTTAGCTTGCAACATCGTTTGCTTTTTTATATGCCATTTTATGCCTTCCTTTGTTCAAAACTTACACGTGGCAACACTTTCCCGCTGCCACCAAAAAGGGGGCAGCAGCAGCTGTGACGGCGACGACCTGCGCTCTCTACGCTCCAACTCTTTAATTGCTGGGCTCCATCATTACAATCGCCTTGCCACTTGACGTGACCAACCTGTGGGGCCAGAGGTGGGTGGGTAGAAGGGTAGAGGGAAACGCGGGTCTGCACGCAATTATTTACTTGAGCCGTAAAACTGTAGTTAAGGCAAGTCAACTTGAAAGCATTTTGGGAAAAGTTTAATGCTTAAATTATGAGCTTCTCCTTGTCACTCGCTCCTGCCGTCTGCCCCTGCCCCTGCCCCAAACGAAAGAGTTGACAGTCACTTTTGTTGAAAATGAGACAGTAATTGCCAAAATGTGCATGACTAGAACGGCTTTTCCCAACGGGCGGCTCAAGGGTAATGGGAGGCAGGACCCCTCCCTTTCGGTGGGTCAGTTGGGTTTTCTTTTCGGTTGACGATAAGTCGTCGTCACTTGCATTACCAAAATTGAAACTTTGCACACTTTTATGTGGATGAACTTGGGCGAAAGCGGTGGGGGGGCACGTCGCCCCATAAATGTCACTTTGTAACGACGACAACGACGACTACTTAAATTAAGGCATAATTAAATTAATAATCCCATTTGGGCGTGCAGCCAAGCAGTTGAAGCCGTCGCCGTAGCCGAAGCCGTAGCCGAGCCAGCCGCCTTGGTAACGAAAGTCGCCGCAGTATAAGGATTCGGGTGTGAGAGCCTTGTGCCTTTACCCGCGCCGTTCTGTGGCAGTGTACGCTTGCGGAAGTTGCAGAATATGAAAATGACTGCGCTAGCGGAAGTGCAGCTGTGTGGGGTGCCACATGTGTGCAACGTTCAAGCTAACCGCCGCACAGCCCGCAGGCATTGTCTTGCCTCAGTTAGCGCGCGGCCAGAAAGTTTTAGCGGATTTGGGGGCCAGAGCCGGGAGCTCACTTGGACTTTGTGCAACGATTGCGTCAATTTTTCCGATTGAATGGGTCTGAGTTCCGTATGCTGGAAAGGAATAGTGAGTTTAAAGACAACTTGAACTCTTGTTGCTAAATACTTGTTATTGTTAAGGAAATACTTAAAAATTGACTTGAAAAACGTTGTATGTATAAATAACTTCTTTGCCTTACCAAGATAAGAACTATGAACTTTATTAAACAATTTCTATATAATTTTGATATATTTTTAGTACTCAATTGAGTTGCCTACAATCTGCAACATATTGTTTATTAAGTCAACTTTGTGGCACTGTTTTATCTAAAGTTTAAAGTCGTCGATTATTTACGAAAACCGTTTCAACATTTAATAGTTGTTGTTTAAATGGTTCAGCGATTTGTAAACAATGGCCCAGACAGCAGGCTGCGCAGGAAGTGCAACAAGCGTAATAAATATTCAGCTATACGGGCTAAATAGTATGCAATAAATTTCACAACAATCAACTTTGATGCATGTTGTAGGTGAGCGGTGGTAACCATAAAAAATATAAGCTCACGTCGCCCTTAGCCCCCAACAAAAAAGCAAAATAAAAAACAATACATACAACACAAAAGCCATCCAGCTGCAAATGGCTGTGCACTAAAAACCGCGCAACAATCTCTCCAGCATACATCATTTTTAGTCAGTGTGTTCTTTTATTTTGTTGCCTTTTTCGCTTGTATCAAATACAGAACGAACCCCATAATACAAGAGAAAGGTAAATAAAACAAGAACGTTAGCAATAGCCAGACATAGAGCTCGTGGAACAATATACAGTGTGTATATTTCGAGCCTGCCTATTTTTGTGAACAGTTTTTGGGGCGTACAAGGTTTTTTTGTGTGTAAAAGGGAGAAGAATCTGAAACCATATGCCTAATAAGCTCTCTATAAATTCAAATTAAATTAAGTTTTAAAATTTGAGTTAACAGCCTTTCTAGAAAATGTTTTCTGGCCATTAATTATGGTAGAGGCTTCCAAATATGAGAAGCTTTCTTGTTTCATTTAAAGAATTAAATAGGTTTTACAAGTTCATAATGATGTCTCAAATGTATAACAAATTTTCGCCTATATTAATATTTTATATACCAAAAATATTGTACCCAATACCGTAGCGTAGTTTATTAAATGAAAAATATAATTCTGTAATTTACGCTTTCCGCTTAAGCCTGATCAATATTCACTGCTTCTATATGCACAAAGTGCTGCAACAAATAATTAAACGATAATATTACGCTCAAAAGTCTCTTGTTTCGCAAATTAATTGTCATAATTCACGCATATTTTAAATTTTGCCAACCTGTACACAAACATTTACAATATCTGTGTGTGTGTGTATTGAGTTCAGGTGGCTCATTAATTGTGTGAGAGAGAAAATTGAATATCGAAACTCAATATGATTAATTGCGCACATACGCACAACAAATTGGCTTATTTTGGGAGTTTAAACGTTTAGAAATGCAACAACATTTTGTATACTTTAGCTTCAATCGACTATAGAGTGAATTTCTAGCGGGAAAACTATAGTAGCTTTAATAACTTTTGATTTTAGGCAGTGACTTTAAAAGCCCTGCGACAATGGCGAACGGGAGAAGTTGACTTTCACATTGTCTACTCATCGGTGTTTCGTGTTGCATTGTTTATTAGCCATATAAATATTATGCCAAAGTGACTTTCTACCCCCAAAATATCCAAATACTCCGCCATATGTGTCGTTTACATTAGCGTAATACGCCGGAAAAGCGAGCCTCTGTACTCAGTATGTGGATTTTACGCTTCTGAAAGATTGCAACGGGGGTTGGCGACTTGTCGTAAAATTTATATAGCTTTTAAAATCATATAAAAAGTGTTAATTTTCCATGTGTTGCTTCTTCTCTGGCTGAGGAGCATCCTGAAGTGGATGGGATGGATTCCGTCCATAAAAGCAAGGTGAATTGGGAACATTTTTATGGCGCAATGAGGATAATGTGTGGGTTGCCTATTAAAGTGATGTGAGATAAACAAACATCATTTGACTTTCAAATTTATTGATAAATCTAAGATCTTACGACTCGATTACGGTTAAGCCCAGGCCCCATAGCCCTAAGGTACATCATAAAAGAGCGCAACACGTAAAGGTTTTGCTATATAAACAGGAACAAAATGTATGCAATATTCTAATGCGCTTAAAGGACCTCTAGGCATAAAGATCCTTTATTTTGGCTTTACATATTAGAAGAAACTCAAGCTTAAAGAGGAAAATATAGAATTGATTTTGATTTTTGTTAATTTTATATTTAGAATATTTTTGGTTAAATACTATTTACATTAAATCTTAATTATAACAATTCTACAAAATACCTTATACATATATAGCTCGCACTAATGGCATCCACACTCTTTAGCCACTGACTTTTGATATTTGGTCAGGTCGATAATGTCCTCGTTCAGGTACCGCAGAATCGTGATGGCACCCAGTACCGTTGGCACACAGCAGGGTTTGGGCAGATGCGGCTGTTTGAGGTGCATCAGGGTTTGGACTATGGCATGGTTCGTGGCATTCATTTTCGTGCCCAGTGGAAAATTGCAACCGCCACCACAGAAGTAAGCCTCGAACTTTTTCGGGGCAATTACCCAGTTGTGCATCTGTAGCTCCTTGAAATCCACCGTAAAGTTGAGGCGTTCGCACGCTTGCGGTGGCTTGTACAGGTCCACGGGTGGCGGCGGTGGATGCACCTGGCTGTTGGTGCGTCGCTTCTGCAGTTCTCTCTTAAATCGAAGCTTCTGAATCTTGACCAAGAGTTCGGGCCCATTAAAGTAGCCAACGATGAAGGGCTCCTGACTGGAGTGCGTCGCCTGGCTGGACAGTCCGGCCGCAAAGGCGCTCATTTGAGAGTCACCAATTGAGATCCTCAAACTCTTTCGTGGCCCATTTTTAAGCAGCCATATTTGCAGGGTTTCGGTTAAATTAAACTCCAACCAGCCCCGATGGTCCGATGTAGTGTTCACTGAGCCCAATATGCGGTAGGAGAAATCCTGGCGGTTGTCCAGTCTTCTGTACACAGACACCGTAAAGTTATCTTTCCTCTCAAACAAACTGGGATGCTTGTATATCCTCAAGGCGGCATGAACCAAAGACAAATCTACAGGAACATCATTTGTATTGAAGGTTATGTGGAGATCCAGTTCGGTATCCAACGGCGTTGATGGTTTCACTCGGCTCGAAAAAGTCAGAATGGAATTGCAGTTGGCAATCTCCTGGCGATCCTCCTCGGAAATCAAAATGTCGTCGTCTAGGGAGCGTTTGTGTCTCTGATGTAGGACCTCTTTGGGCTCCTGGTCCTCGCTGATCTCATTGTAGACTTCCAGAAGAAATTTCGAGGCCGCGTTATTTATATTGGGCTGTGCTTGTCGTCTTGGTCGGTCTCCCAAATCCAATAGGTCAATCATTTCCATTTGTTGGCTGAGCGGACGATCTGCATAGGCTGGCAGCTCGGCGTTGGTGTTTGTGGTTATATAGGTTGTACATCCAACGGTATGAATCAGGATCGTCATCAAAAAAGCGAGGAACACGATCATGGTGACTTCTTGGCAAGAGTTGAAATTGCACTGATTTCTGAGGCCTAGAAACTGCGTCTTTTATGCCATAACAGGTAGTAAGCAATCTCACAAACTAATAATCTCCCTTGCAGCAGGTCAAGTAGGTCTTTTAAAAAGGGTTTAGGGGTTTTCCATACTAGTTTAACCTGTTCAGGTAACTTTCCCGAAAAGCCATATAATTTTTCACACCTGAAAGCCATGTAATTATAACAGAATTACGCCCCCGAGAAAGTTATGTTCCACAACTTATACGTTTAAGATTTGTAAAATACTCTGTAGTTTAGCTGAATATTCAAACAATTTTTAAACTAAGTTATTGTTATTTTATGTAACAATTTCCCAAAAACTAATAACTAACTAATACCATTTTTATATTTTTTTTTACAGGATTCTTACAAATTGAGAACAGCCGTGAGGAAGATCAAGGAAAGTACGAGTGTGTGGCTGAAAATTCCGTTGGCACAGAGCACTCCAAGGCAACCAATTTGTACGTGAAGGTTCGCCGTGTTCCTCCCACTTTCTCCCGCCCACCAGAGCCCATCAATGAAGTAATGCTAGGCTCCAATCTGAATCTATCCTGTATAGCCGTCGGGTCGCCCATGCCGCATGTCAAATGGATGAAAGGTGGGTATTCCATCCATTTTCAATATATTTCTGGATCAAACTTGGATGATTTCTTTTAACTTTAAACACTTTAGGCTCTGAAGATCTTACTCCCGAGAATGAAATGCCAATAGGACGCAATGTCTTGCAACTGATAAACATTCAGGAGAGCGCCAACTACACTTGCATAGCCGCCTCCACTTTAGGGCAACTCGATTCCGTTTCGGTGGTCAAGGTTCAATGTAAGTTTAGAATATATTCAAAATAAAGCACCTTTAATGTTTTCCCCTCCTTTTCTAGCTTTACCAACGGCACCCACCGATGTGCAAATCTCCGAGGTGACCGCCACTTCGGTGCGTCTGGAGTGGTCATACAAGGGTCCCGAGGACTTGCAGTATTATGTGATTCAGTACAAGCCGAAGAATGCTAACCAGGCCTTCAGCGAGATAAGCGGCATCATCACCATGTACTACGTGGTCCGTGCCTTGAGTCCCTATACGGAGTACGAGTTCTACGTGATAGCCGTGAACAACATCGGACGTGGCCCGCCCTCGGCTCCAGCGACCTGTACCACCGGTGAGACAAGTGAGTATCGCGGATGAGCTGCCCTCGAAGGAAGGTCATTTAACTAACTGCCTGCTTCTCCATTCCGTCTCTCACATGCTGCACAAAAGGATTTTTAACCAATTTCATTTTGAATTTAGGAGCTACTCCTTTAGATCCCTTTTTATTTTCCTTAGCCCGTTATGTCGGCAATGGTACTAACCCCTTTTCCAAATTGTCTATCCCTCCGCTCTCTCTCTGTCTTACTCTCTATCCATGCGTATGCCTGCTCAGGCGATTTCTCATTCGGTGGCACAAGTAAGTATCCTAGGCAAACAAAATTTTATGGTTGGCCAAAAAAATTGCCAAAACAATTTCAATAACAATTGTGTTGAGCAAGAGGAAATCGCAGAGACCCAAGGGAATGTAAAGAGCACAAAGGAGATAGCAGCAGGGAAATAACAAGTAGATAGATATAATCAAAGGTAAATGCAATGTTCTGTTCCCAAAATCGTTGCATACGCAGCTGCGTTCCACAAACACAAGTATCCGCGATTGTCTGACGTATGCGTGTGGGTGAAGGGAGTCGGTCTTACTTCTAGGATGTTATAAAGTTTGCATTGTTATGTGTGCTGTACGAGTGTATCTGAACGAATGCTTGCATCTATGTTTTAGTCCTGGTCTGGCATACCTTCCAGACATTATTATAAACAGATTTTTGCAAGCTGCTTATTGGTAAAATCCTTAAAAGATAACAAAAGTTCATTAAGTATTTTAGTTAAAAATAAAGGCAGTCTTTTCTTTTCCCCCGAGATTCACATAAACAGTAAATTTACATCTTGAACCAAACATACTTTGAAAAAGAGTATCCCTTATTCCCTTTTCATATGTAGTCCTATATTTATTTTTTTATGCAACAGCAGCAGCTGCAACTGCAGTTCCTGCAGAACACCCAGCAGCGTGTCGCACAAATGTTGAAAACTTTTATTGCCGCAATTATACTTATCGCTTGCCCAATATCGTTTCGAAATAATATCTCGATGGCAACATTTACGGTCGGGGGCAGCTGAAGGCTGACTGGCTATTGAGTCAGGCAGAATGCCACCCAGCAGACTGGCGTCAGCAGGTCAAAGCAAAGCTTAACACGTGTCATTGGCTTAGGTAGCAGATTTCTTTACGGTATGTAACCATATCGGAGGCACCTGTGCCCAGATACACCAGTACAGGACAGATTGTATAGTTGGATTATCTTACAAAATGCTAAAGTCTTGGATAGGTGCAACTTTATTGTCTATGAAGGAGCAACTGACCTGCCATGGGTCTTCTAGATATAGTTTAGAATTTAAGATAAGATAAAAATATGCACAGGTTCTTCAAGTCAAGTCCTGATTTTTGGTTCTGTAGGCTAGTCTAGATATGTAGGCTATGTCTAGATCGAATATACTGTTGAAGAATATACATAAATATATTCTATGGGCCAGAATCCAAGACCTTTATCTCTAGGTCTGTACCTTAAAGTAGTCACTGCAACTTAATTTTTTTTTGCGTGTGCAAGAAGTAGGCGTTGCATGCAAGGAATACATACTATTAATGGAGCATATCCATATGTAATGTATCTACCCTGATATGCAGCTAACGTGGTAACGTGGTCGTGGAGAAGCCCACTCCCACACCCACACCCACCCCCAAACACGCTCAAGTGCCAAGGGGAAATTTTTGCCTGAATCCTGAATCTATCGGTGAGTGCGAGCTGCATGCAAATCTTGGCTATAACAAGCAATGGACCACACGAACGAGGGCAGGCACACACAACCACATCCGGGAGGAGCACTTGTGTAACAGATGAGATGACTGCGATATAAATTGTGGATAAAACTGCTATACCGTTTGTGAATATTGCAGTAAAATTGTGAGAAATTGGAATTTATCGATTGCCCATTAACCAAACGAGTTACGAATTGGTTACACACACACATACCATACTTCGTACTTGCAGCCATAATGCAAATTGAGTGAAAGACGTTACACACTAATTGCTATTCAAAACGAGCTTGAATGTTAAGGGGGAGGGAAGGGGCCAGCTGCCAAGGCTGCCCACCGTTGATTTGTGGCTGGCAATGCAGTTGACCGACAAATTTTTGATCGTGCGAATGCATTGTGCCAAATTGCGAATAGCTAGATTCATACTTCCTGAGGGCGGGCCGGGTAGAGCATTGCTGTGGCGCACAAAAATCAGTTTATAAATGCAAAATTCTCACTATAACCGCCTCCAGGCTTCAACGCGCCGAAACAATTTCCTCAATTTTCCCCGGAAATGCAGCATCCCGCCCCTCTGTTGCTCTACCGCTCTGTCCCTGTCTGACCAGCTCCATCCATAAAACGACACGAAATACGCATCTCCAGCAGCTAAAACAACAGCCAACCAATGGTTCATTCGAAAAACAAATTGTGATGGATGGGGATTGTTTGCTTTGCAAAACATTTGTGCTGCCCTAATGGCATATAGCCGCCCGTAAAAAAAAAAAAACTCCTCCTTTTGCGCCTCTGCAGTTGATCGATAATGCCATTTATTCGGCGTTATGTTCATTTGCCTCAACAAAGAAATTAAAATAAGTTAACAAATGTATACTCAAAGTTTAAGATAATACTCTGGAGGGGGAAATTATATTTAAATACTGATTATACTATTTCTACTTAAGAATAGATAAAATATAGATTATTTAAATAGGATTTACGAAACTACGATTTCTAAGCAATAAAAGAAAGATTGATTTGAATTGTTTACATATATTTTTGCTTATTATTGGCAACTTTCAAAGTTGCTTAAAGTTTAAAGAATTTGTCAAACAATTTTAAATATTTTAATTGAGTAGTTTTAAATAATATTCAATTTTGAATTTCTTTGAATGATTTAACAATTGTTTATCAATTCTAATTTACATTTAAATTTACTTCTCTCGCAGAAATGGAAAGTGCACCACGTAATGTTCAAGTGAGGACGTTGAGCTCGTCCACCATGGTTATTACCTGGGAACCTCCAGAGACGCCCAATGGACAAGTGACCGTAAGTAATAAAGCTGACATTAAGTAGCGAAAAGATACATTTCGGGTTCGGGTTGCCCACCAATTAATAGCAATATAAATTGGAAGTCGGGAGTTATTGATAGTCATAAAGAATCAATTAAGATTCCCTATAAATATAAATAGACAATAACTATATGTAATGCACTTTCTCTCTTAAAAACAACAGGGCTATAAGGTGTACTATACGACCAACTCGAATCAACCGGAGGCCTCGTGGAACTCTCAGATGGTCGACAACAGTGAACTGACGACAGTTTCGGAGCTAACACCCCATGCCATCTATACAGTTCGGGTCCAGGCCTACACCTCCATGGGAGCCGGTCCAATGTCCACGCCGGTCCAAGTGAAGGCGCAACAAGGTAGGCTAAGCCAAATTGATTGGGCAATCAGCTTCAATTAGGCACTTGACACACGCATACACACTTTACCCCATTGCATTTTGAAACGAGCACAATTCGCAATTTAATTGCTCAACTCAACTCAATCGGGCCACATACATAGGTCACACCAATTATTTAATTATAGTACAAAATGTCAGGCGAAACGTGTGTGTACGTTCAATGAAATATTTATCTGTGCTCATGCAGAGACAACATTTGCTGGCTGTGTGCGTGCACAGGAGATATTCATTAACTGGTGGCAATCAGTGAGTAAATGCAAATGCATTAGACTGTGTGTCCGGGCTTAAGTACTGCGGCTGTGGCCTGTGTCTTAAGCTGCTTTAAATCGTACAATAAATAACAACAAAAGGGGACTCAACTTTGAACTGCTTCGACTTATTACCTGAGGTTAGGTAAGCTGGAAATGCCCACTTCTCTATTTTGGGGACAGGCGGTGACGTCTTGTTGCCATTGCCTTATTCAATTGACCTGTAAGTCTAGGCTAGACAAACCATACACAAGTCAAGTGACAGCTCCGAAAGGGGTATCGGATTCTTTATTAAAACTTTTAACTTCAAAGCAGCGACGACAGGCTCTCGGAGCTGGGTTCCCCGGGGACAACTAGAAATTATTTTAAAATTGATAATCATTTTCTCTGTTGGACTTCCCCTGTCGGCTTTGCGGTGAGCGGCGCTCAGCTCAAATATTCATGCATGTAGAGAGGGGGGTTGTTGGGATGGACACATGTCAATCAATTTCATGCAAAACCAATATGAATTCAAAATGCTGATGCAGCGATTGCTGTGCTCTGTGCGTGTTTCACCTCATCAATACCGTGCAGCATTCGGAATTGGATACCGATTCGCAATCGCTATCGAAATCATTGGCATACAAACAAATGCCCACATTGATTTGTTTGTATTTTATTTAATTTCCGTAATTTCCGTTTCATTATTACCAAACCAAAACCAAAACCAAAACCAAATGCAATTCCCCAACGTCGCCATCGCACCGAAACTTCCAACCCCCGAATATGAAATACGGATATGTCTACAAAGGTGTGCCATCACAACCGAGCAATTTCCGGGCCACCGATATCGGCGAGACCGCAGTCACACTGCAATGGACAAAGCCGACTCATTCCAGTGAGAATATCGTACACTACGAGCTCTACTGGAATGACACATACGCCAATCAGGTCCATCACAAGTGAGTTGAAATCCAAGCCTACACAAAAGCAATCCTGATTTGCCATCTGTTTAGACGCATTTCCAACTCGGAGGCATATACGCTGGACGGCCTGTATCCCGATACGCTGTACTATATCTGGCTGGCAGCCCGGTCTCAGCGGGGCGAGGGGGCCACCACGCCGCCCATTCCGGTTCGCACCAAGCAATATGGTAAGTTAGCCAGGCCGCAGCCAATTCCACTAAATTTCTAAGTTAAGTCAAACCGCCGTAGTCGTACGAGTTTTCATAGACCTAAGAACTGTGTGCAATTTATATTTGGTTTTGAAACATACGCATATATATATATATTTGATATATTAACAACAATACATAAACATGGTACCTAAACATGTAGTTGATTATTCAATTCAGTTACCAGTTACCAAAAAACCAAACCAAACCGAAATGTCTGAGTGTGATATTGAACTCTACTGAGTTATGCTTTCGTGGAAAAAGGTAAAGAGTGTTCAGTGTATTGAATAAATGGTAACGGATGAGTGATTCGAGTGAGCGATGAGTTCTATGCACCTCTTACACCACCACTAACTATATTTAAGTCGATTTATACATATTCATATATATATTGTTTGATATGTAATTGTTCTGGTTCCTTGCAAGTTATCCATAAGTTTTAGTAGTTAGTTACACTATATATTACACTAAACACACTATATAAACTATATACTCTCATAGTTAGTTTTTACAAAACAAGACATATACATAGCTTACACCTAAACATATCCTTATACAAAAATATATATAGCAAATAAGACATTTAGACATTTACACCAACATATTTTCCAAATGGTTTAGAACCTTTGAGAACAACAGATTGCAAAAGGTTTAAATTTTCCACTAATTAAATTTGTATACATTTGTTTTGTTTTCGGTTGAGCCTTATTAAAATGACACCTTTTGCTATCTGTTAGGCCCAACCAATTACAGACCAAAATTCACTGAACTTTACTAGCTAAATGTCCACCAGCCTCACCACACCACAGGATAGGAACCCATAAACAACGACCACCAACAATTTACCAAATATGTGTATGCTATTTTTTTCAGTTGAAAGCTAAATTTCATAATGCAATGCAAAAGAGAAGTGAACAAAATAACCTTTTCAGTTTGCCTGTGTGTGTTTTTGCAATGCTCGATTATGTTCCATTTATCATTTGTGGCTCTGCGAGTGTTAAACCATGTAAATTATGCGAAAACTATTTCCAAACTAAGACCTCAATTTAATTTAAATTTATTTGGCAATATTTAGCAACTTTGCACACTGCACTTTGCACCATAAGCACTTTGACCGCATAACCAAAACCAAATATCACTTATGTAAATTCTATCTACAAAGTGTCTTTTCAAATGGATTTTGAATGATATTTTAATATATGGACGCGAAGACAATTTCCGAAAGTGCAAAGTTCTTGTCTGTGCCAGAAGTCTACATATATATATATATATATATAGATTTTAGTTACTTTCTTTGCACGATTGTTTACAAGCCAGCATGTTATTCAGGAAATGCTTTAATCCTAGAGGTTATGTATTTTTTAGATTTCTTTTAATGTTATTTCCACGTTAGGTTGCTGACATTTAACTTATTTCCTTTATAGATAATTTGTTGTTAAATTCTTTTACTTTTTGCAGTTAATTAAGATGTATATATATGTGTTTTTTAAGAAAAATTCCTATGGTTTATGCAAATTAATGTTTTTATTTGTTTATGAATGTACATGTTATGTGGATGTGTGTCTAGTTGAACATTTTAAATCGACTTTCTAAGCTAAGCTTGACTTGGATTTTATTTTGTTTTGTAGCTATGTATTTGGATTTGGATATTTCAGCCCAAAAAAGTCAAAAAATATGCACAAATTATTGACAAGCGAAAAAAAAAAAAAAAAAAAGGAGTCAACCTTATTTGCATAAACCATTGGATCTGTGTCTTGACATTTGATTTATTTTGATATTTACATACCTATATGCCTTTATAAACCATATTGTTCTGTTTGATTTTAACATTATTATTTTGCTTTCCGGACTTTTCGTTTCATGTTACCAATTATTTCGGTTTGAAATTTATTTTGTAATCTGGCTAATTGCTGAACGCTATGAAAAACCAACTCATACCATACCAACCAACCAACCCTTGGCTATGCATCAACAACAATGAACATCAATGAAAACACCTAATAAAACCAACAAAACAAAAATCAAAATGCACACACAAATACGTTCCGTTCCCATCTATGTAATTAGTACCAGGTGCACCGCCCCGAAATATCACTGCCGTAGCCACCAGCTCGACAACTATCTCGCTTAACTGGCTGCCTCCTCCCGTGGAGCGTTCCAACGGTCGCATCATTTATTATAAGGTCTTCTTCGTGGAGGTGGGCCGCGAAGACGACGAGGCCACCACGATGACCCTCAATATGACCAGCATTGTGCTGGATGAACTGAAGCGCTGGACGGAGTACAAGATCTGGTTGCTAGCCGGCACCTCTGTTGGCGACGGGCCGCGCTCCCATCCCATTATTTTGCGCACCCAAGAGGATGGTATGTATGCCAATGACCTTACCTAAGCGTAAGTCCTATCAAAATCTTTGGTCTTTGTTTTCATTTTACAGTTTTTTAAAGTTATAGTTTTACTTACTATTTTTATTATATATATTTTTTTGAAACCCCTTCTTAAGTTATGTCTTAGTCCTACGTTCATTATCCTTCCATCATCTCTCTGAAAAAGAAATCATGCTGAAACTAATCGAAAGTATTCTGTACTATTTTTGAATTTTGATATCAAGAGCAGTCACCACAGGATCGGCTAGTACGATGGAGCATTATCTAATATCCAACGATATATCTAAATATATAATTTTTCAACCAAATTCAATTTATTCGGGTTTTAAATATTATTATCTACACCCTACAGCTGTTAATCATCTTTTGAAAACAGCTATATTTTAAATTTGTAGTTTAGTTAAAAATTATTATAATTTTATAAACAGTTTTCATTTTAATATTTAACTTTTATTGGTAATATCTGCTTTCAAAATGCAAATTGTCCACCCGGACTCATTTTCATACTTCGACTGTCACCGTCAAAGGATCTCTAAGAATCCACCAATAAAGGAAAACAAAATGCGTTTTCTTCATGCCCCAAGTTTTGATTTCATTTATGGTTTGTTTCAAATTCCCTTCTCTGATAACCTTTTAATTATAAAATATTTATTTTTGGAAAAAAAAAGAGTACGAAAAATTTTAACAATTGGCACTATAAAATTGCATATTTTTTGGCGCAATTTTTGACTACTTTTTGCACATGATCATGTTTCTATGAAAAAGAATACAAAGTCTTTATAGAAGAACTCCTATGTATTGTGCACTTACATGCAAGCGAAAATATTTTTGTTATTTTCTTCACGGCCGCACAACGGTTTCTTAAAATGCACAATCAAGATGTATGTATCTTTGATTAAAAACAAAAACAAAACCAAAACCTCTTTCATAATAAATATTTTTGAATATAATGCATCAACTGTTTGTGGTAATTTGTATAGCACTTAACTAAGCCATGAACTCTATGTAATCTTTTTGTATTTTTGAAATTTGTATATAGTTTTTGTAAGCACAACACAACCAACACATTCTGCACCACAACCTAATTATCTAAACCAATACACGAATTTGATTTTAGATTGTTTGCATTAAATATTTGATTTAATTATTTGCATAAGTAAATTTATGCAATTATAAATGTAAAAACAAATCCTGGCCACACGACTATTACCATAATAACCTCGCTCCTGACCCCTAACATTTTCCCGTACATTTTTCTGTTATTTTCATTTTATGTGTTTACTCAACGCAAATAGCGCAAAATATTTCGCACTATTTATTGTTTATTTTTTATGAGTTCCACTTAGCTGCAAAAGCACCTACACATCTACTTTTGTGTGATATTTACTTAAGCGCGTACATATTTTATAAAGTTTACAAAAGCTCGGTGTACTGTAATTTTTGAAACCTTTCAACTACACAGGCTATTGCCCCCATCTGTTTGCTTTTTGGCCCACAATTTCTGCACTTTTGCCATAAGTGAAGCTCCCACACATTTCGCCCCGAATGCCTGATAATCCCCACAATGTCGCACGTTTTTCAATGAATTTTGTTTTTTGTTAACTGCTATGCAAATAGCGGACACGGCACAGCAAATCCTTAAATTGATTTCTGCACAAAATTAACCGATTTTTATTTGCCAACATAATTTTACATATATATTTTATGTTGTTGACCCATTTCATTAAGTTTTATTTGCAATCACCTGCATGTTTGCACACTTAACACATTTGTGAATGCGTGTCGGCATTCTATATTATTTGCCCTCCCAGTTTCACCTGCTTTCCCTTTGAGTTTTTGTCCGACTTTAAGTCCTTCCTGTTCTAGGAATTGACAGCAATTGAAATTGTTAATCATTTTCTGGTAAAAGATATTGCAAAAGAGCAAGGACTTTAATCTGTTTTACTGGCAAAGATATTAAGTATCAATCAAATTTGATTAAAAGATTAAAATCATTTAAACTGAAGCTGGGAAGAGGTTGGACTTACGTCTCACATATATTCTTAAATGCTTTAATATTTTCCAACATTTATACTTTTTAAACACCTTAAATATCCATACACAAAGTTTATCCTTCGTTTTCCCTTGCTTGTTACCTGTTAGCTAGCTTGCTCAACAAAAAGCGTTTTCTTTATAAAGTACCTACTCAATTTGTGTGTGTTTGAAAGGCGCAAACAACATTTGAGTGAGGTGTCCCCTTGTTTCCTTGATTTTATTTCGTTTAAGCACTGTACTTTAAATGTATCTATCGTTAAGCACATTAGTGTACGTATCACTCTGGCTCTTTCTCTGTCATCTCCTTAGCTCACTCTATGTTAAAATAAGTCTAGAATTAAGACCACATTGCAGCACTGACAGCACTGTATGCTTCGCACCTTGATGGTAATTAATATTTTCAAAAACCAAAAAATGAACTAATTTTTGATAAATGAAAGTTAGCAGCCTCAGCTGAGCCTAAGAAATTTCAAATATTTTCAATTTAAAAAAAACTATCAGGTTCAAAAACTTTCTGTACTCGAAAACGTTTACTTAGACCAAAGAAAGTTGAACTTAAAATTGAAATTAAAATTTTGCTGAGCAATTTTGTTGAAGGTCGAATCATCGTAGGGCCATATTAGTTGTAAATGTTTTTGACTCCTCACTATTGTCTCTCAGTTTAAAAGTATATTATTTATATTCTTAGTAAATATTTAGGGTATAACGTAATCAAAATTATCATAACATTATACTTTTTAACATTTTTTGACAACAGAAATCAATCTAATTCCATAGAAATCATAAAGAAAAATTCTTCAAAGTTCAACGTTCTTAAATATCTTTTGTCAGCTTTGAAAATATAAAATATATATTTAAAGAAATCATAAAATAACTAAATTATACTAATTACACTTTATCATTCGATTTTGTAACTAAATAAAAATGTAACGATCTTAATCATTATTAAACCCAAGACCAGGGAATTATAACATGTTTAATTTCTAAGTAAAAGCAAGCACCAGACACAAGCAAAGCACCAAAGCACCGCATTTCTATTGAGATATATGTACCTGCGACTAACTTTAATTTTATTTTAATTGTACTTTATTCGACGTTGAGGCTGGCAGCCTCAAATGTATCTCAGACTGCATGCACATCCGTCACTTTTAGCCAGAAGCTCACAAGATTCAGTGGCAGCAGCGTCTGAGGCAGCATTAGAGGGTCAGCTTCTATGAACATGCCACAGGATTTGCCGTTTTTTTTTTCTACTAATTTTTGCGTTCCGTTCCGTACGTCGGGAGCGTATTTCTTTATGATGCGATGTGCTTGTTAGCTGCCACCGCCAGATGCAAATGCAAATGCATTCCACCTGTCTAAAGCTGGGCACTTGCTTTTTATTTGCCGCCCCACGACCCGACCACCCAATCCCCACTCTCCCAGGATCCCGATCCCGATCCCGCCCTTCTGCAAAATTCGTAGACCATGGAGATTCCCTTTTGTGCACATAGACAGTCGCACTCTTGCACTCGTTCTGCTCACATGAAAACTAAAAAAATAAAAAAGAAAACATAAAAAATGAGCACCTCGAGCATTGGAAGCTTAGCACGCGTTCATTGCTTCGTTTGTTCCATTCAACGGAGAAAGCACTGCACTGCACGAGAAAAAAAAACAGATTCACAAAATAGAGAACACTCCTCTAACGGTAACATTTGAATTATTTTATATTTTAAGTGTGCGAGAGTGTGTGTGTGTGTGTGTGGGGTGAATACATGCAAAATGACAAAAAATGAAGACAAAATTACAGCAGAGTGCCGTGTAGCTGACCCATTCCATTCCCATGCACTCACCTGCGACACTTGCAAGTGCAGGTGCAGAAGCAAGAACACTAATGAAGCATAATTTAACATTTTTGTGCCGTCAGTCGCATTTGAATAATTTATATTATGCATTAATTTAACATTTTTAATGAACCCCAAATGCAGTGATTGAGGGCAAGACACCGAATGGCAGCGACGAGTCGAGTACAAATAATGAAATGTGCTGGCAAAAAATAGTATATATTGTGCTTAAAGAACTATATATAAAAAATACAGGGACAGCTTGACAAAACAATTATATAAATGTAAGGTATAATTTAATAGTTAAGTTTAGAGTTAAGTTTTACCATATTTTAAGGTAGTTTTAAGACAACAATTCATGATTAAATTGAGGTAAGTTATATGTGTATTTCAGGCTATTCATAAATTACCAACAATTCCAAGTAAATTAAGACAAAACAGTATCAAAGTGTGCCAACAAATATGTAGATTTTGTATCATGTGTTCTCTCCTTCTTTATATATTTTCTCCCAACCTTTTGTGAATTTCCCTAATTTTTGCACCAGTAAACCTTTTTGAAACTGTATACCGTAAACTAAATACCTATATTTTATATCTTTTCATATACTTACTATAAAAAAAAAAAAAACAAAAAAAAACAAAATAACTTTGCTTGGCCACTCGCACCTTGCACTACTTGCTCTGTTTCGTGCACCTTTTTTGAATGCAAATCAAAATGGAAAATAAATAAAACCCAAATCTTTTTGAAACTTTTTTGATGTGAATACCAAATTATTGCGAAATTTGATTTTTGAACGCAACCTTTAATGGATGGTGATTTATATATACACATATAATGAAAATAAAACATTTTAAAAAAATATTTAGAGAAAAAGAGTGAGTATATTCAATGGTTGACTATGTATTATGTTTAAGAATGCCCTATAGCAGCATACTATCTATATCTATACTGTACTTTACTACGAATCTCTATTTCTATATATCCTATATATACTTTTTATTCCAAAAACTGATTTTTGAATTGGTCCAGAAACTGTTGACCAACATACATACAATTATATATAATTCATATTTCCTTTATTTTCCTACGATTCTCTATTTCGACATTTTTTGAAAGTCTACCAAACCGTTTTTAAGGTCGGCCAGGATTTTAAATGCTCCCCAAAACGGGAGCATAAGTGTATAGCATATATATAACAAGTATTTTTTGGGTTCCACAATGTATATGTTTTTTGTTTTTTGCACACAAAAAAAGTAATCCCTTTTTGAATGCTTACATGTTTGTTTTTGCTAAGTGAATCGAGGTGAATATCGAGGTCGAAAGTGTCTCGATACCGATCTTGAGCTAATATTTTTGTGTAATTTTTGGCATACTCTCTAAGAAATGGTTTTTAGTACTCAATCTCGATACTATAGCAAGGTATTAAGTGCACCTCCTATAGCCTTTTGAGCACCAATTAAGCACCCCGTCCGTATACTACTTACTACAACTATCTAGCACTTAAGCACCTTGGTTCCCGTTCCCATTTACCTTAATCCTTTACATTTCATTTGTTTTTGTCTGTGATGTGGTGATGACTTTGTCCTTGACCTAAGATCGTAACTGGTTAGTTACCTTAATTAACTCTCTGGCTGTATATAAATGCAGTTCAACACACATTTATCACAGAATTAAGTAAGCTAGAGCTAAGTAAGTTTAAGTTAGCCAATACTTTTGGCTTAAGTTAGGCTTTTTTAATCCACAATGTTCTCCAGTTGATTTCGTCATTATGAGTACCTCGATCTAATCGCGCCTCTCTCCGTCGTCGTCTATAGTGCCCGGCGATCCTCAAGACGTTAAGGCCACGCCCCTCAACTCTACATCAATCCATGTCAGCTGGAAGCCACCACTCGAAAAGGACCGCAATGGCATTATCCGAGGTTACCATATACATGCTCAGGAGCTACGCGATGAGGTGAGTTATGAAGACACTGCCTACATCCTACACTTCCTTATAACTTTTTTTTATCAAAGGGCAAGGGCTTCTTGAACGAGCCTTTCAAGTTCGATGTAGTGGACACGCTGGAGTTCAATGTGACGGGACTGCAGCCGGACACCAAGTACTCCATTCAGGTGGCCGCCCTGACGCGTAAAGGCGACGGCGATCGTAGTGCTGCAATTGTAGTCAAAACTCCCGGCGGAGTTCCCGTACGTCCTACGGTGAGTCTGAAGATCATGGAGCGAGAGCCGGTCGTGTCAATCGAACTGGAGTGGGAGCGCCCGGCACAGACATACGGGGAGCTGCGTGGCTACCGGCTTCGGTGGGGCGTCAAGGATCAGGCCTTGAAGGAGGATATGCTGTCGGGACCCCAAATGACAAAGAAACGCTTCGATAACTTGGAGCGTGGTGTGGAGTACGAGTTCCGGGTGGCTGGGAGCAACCACATTGGTATAGGCCAGGAATCGGTGAAAATCTTTCAGACACCCGAAGGGACGCCCGGCGGACCACCGTCAAACATCACCATTCGCTTCCAGACACCGGATGTAGTGTGTGTTACCTGGGATCCGCCCACCAGAGAGCACCGAAATGGCTTGATTACCCGATATGACGTACAGTTTCACAAGAAAATCGATCACGGGCTTGGATCTGAGCGAAATATGACGCTACGTAAGGCAGTGTTTACGAACCTCGAGGAAAATACCGAATACATCTTTCGCGTAAGAGCCTACACGAAACAGGGAGCTGGGCCGTTTAGCGATAAATTAATAGTCGAAACAGAGCGGGACATGGGTCGTGCACCGATGTCCGTGCAGGCAGAGGCCACGTCCGAGCAGACGGCGGAGATATGGTGGGAACCGGTGCCCAGCCGGGGCAAGCTGCTTGGCTACAAGATATTCTACACGATGACCGCTGTGGAGGATCTCGATGATTGGCAGACGAAAACTGTGGGCCTCACCGAGTCCGCTGACCTGGTGAACCTCGAGAAGTTTGCCCAATATGCGGTGGCCATTGCGGCGCGGTTTAAGAACGGACTGGGACGACTCAGTGAGAAGGTGACGGTCCGCATCAAGCCGGAGGATGTGCCCTTAAATCTGCGCGCCCACGATGTAAGCACGCACTCGATGACCCTGAGCTGGTCACCGCCCATCCGACTGACGCCCGTTAACTACAAGATCAGCTTTGACGCCATGAAGGTGTTCGTGGACTCCCAGGGATTCTCTCAGACGCAGGTTGTCCAGAAGCGGGAGATTATCCTGAAGCACTACGTGAAGACGCACACGATCAACGAGCTGAGCCCGTTCACCACCTACAATGTGAATGTGAGTGCCATACCCTCAGACTACTCATATCGCCCGCCCACAAAGATTACGGTCACCACGCAAATGGCTGCGCCCCAGCCGATGGTCAAGCCAGATTTCTACGGGGTGGTTAATGGGGAAGAGATCCTAGTGATACTGCCACAGGCCTCCGAGGAGTACGGCCCCATCTCGCACTATTATCTGGTGGTGGTGCCGGAGGACAAGTCGAATCTGCACAAGATACCTGATCAGTTCCTCACCGATGACCTCCTGCCGGGCAGGAATAAGCCGGAGCGCCCCAATGCCCCGTACATAGCGGCCAAGTTCCCGCAACGATCCATACCCTTCACGTTCCACCTCGGATCTGGCGACGACTATCACAACTTCACCAATCGCAAGTTGGAGCGGGAGAAGCGCTACCGCATCTTCGTGCGGGCGGTCGTGGACACGCCGCAAAAGCATCTCTACACATCTAGTCCCTTCTCGGAGTTCCTATCGCTGGACATGAGGGAAGCGCCGCCCGGTGAGCGTCCCCATCGGCCGGATCCCAACTGGCCTTCGGAACCAGAGGTGTCCGTAAATCGAAACAAGGATGAACCTGAGATATTGTGGGTGGTGTTGCCCTTGATGGTTTCCACTTTCATTGTTTCCACCGCCCTGATTGTGTTCTGTGTGGTGAAGCGCCGCCGACAGCCCTGCAAGACTCCAGATCAGGCGGCCGTGACACGACCCCTGATGGCCGCCGACCTGGGAGCCGGACCCACTCCCAGCGACCCTGTGGACATGAGGCGCCTCAATTTCCAGACGCCCGGCATGATCTCCCACCCGCCCATACCAATATCCGAATTCGCCAACCACATCGAGCGCCTTAAATCGAATGACAATCAGAAGTTCTCGCAAGAGTACGAGAGCATCGAGCCGGGCCAGCAGTTCACCTGGGACAACTCAAACCTGGAGCATAATAAGTCGAAGAATCGCTACGCCAATGTCACGGCCTACGACCATTCCCGCGTCCAGCTGCCGCCGTCGGAGGGTGTGGCCGGATCCGACTACATCAACGCCAACTACTGCGATGGTTACAGAAAGCACAACGCGTACGTGGCCACCCAGGGCCCGCTACAGGAGACCTTCATCGACTTCTGGCGCATGTGCTGGGAACTGAAGACGGCCACTATTGTGATGATGACGCGCCTGGAGGAGCGGACCCGCATTAAATGCGACCAGTACTGGCCGACACGGGGAACGGAGACATATGGCCAGATCTTTGTGACCATCACCGAAACGCAGGAGCTGGCCACCTACAGCATCCGGACATTCCAACTGTGCCGGCAAGGCTTCAACGACCGCCGCGAGATCAAGCAGCTTCAATTCACTGCCTGGCCGGATCACGGTGTGCCCGACCATCCGGCTCCGTTCCTTCAATTTCTGCGCCGGTGCCGCGCTCTAACCCCCCCGGAGTCCGGACCCGTGATTGTCCACTGCTCGGCGGGAGTTGGTCGCACGGGCTGCTACATCGTCATCGATTCGATGCTGGAGCGTATGAAGCACGAGAAGATCATTGACATCTACGGACATGTGACCTGCCTGCGGGCACAGCGCAATTACATGGTGCAGACGGAGGACCAGTATATCTTCATTCATGACGCCATTTTGGAGGCCATCATCTGTGGGCTTACGGAGGTGCCCGCCCGCAACTTGCACACTCACCTGCAGAAGCTGCTGACCACGGAGCCCGGCGAAAGCATCTCTGGCATGGAGGTGGAGTTCAAGAAGCTGTCCAACGTCAAGATGGACTCGTCCAAGTTCGTTACGGCCAACCTGCCTTGCAACAAGCACAAGAATCGCTTAGTGCACATCTTGCCATATGAATCGAGTCGCGTCTATCTCACCCCTATCCACGGCATCGAGGGCAGTGACTATGTCAACGCCAGCTTCATAGACGGTTATCGTTACCGCTCCGCCTACATTGCCGCCCAGGGTCCGCTCCAGGATACAGCCGAGGACTTTTGGCGCATGCTCTGGGAGCACAACTCCACCATAGTGGTCATGCTGACCAAGCTCAAGGAAATGGGCAGGGTAAGCACTGAATCAATACAAACTTGTGTCTGAAAATTAAATCAAAAAGTTAGTTATTTAGTTACAATTGGTTTCTTGGAAAAATAATATAATTAAACCTTTTAGACTTGAACCTAAAGTAGTAGCAAATAATATGAATATTTAGTTCTATCTTCTGGTAATAGTTTCCAGATAAAGAAACTTTTCAATCTAGAGATAATACAGGAAAACGTTATATAAGTTGATAATGAAAGGCGTATTAAAGATAAAAATTTTGAAAAAAGGCCGATGTGTGCTTTTCAGTTATGTTTGTGCAGAGTTTTCAAAGAACGAACATCTAAAAGATGAATTTATTAGAAATTTTAAGGAGAATATTGTTCGCCGTTAGTAATATTAAAGAAAAAAGTATTATTTATTATTTTAAAATTTTCTTTAAATTTATTGTTCTTTAAATAACATTTAAAATCTCTTACTTTCCCAGGAAAAGTGCTTCCAGTACTGGCCCCACGAGCGTTCTGTCCGATACCAGTATTATGTGGTAGACCCAATCGCTGAGTATAACATGCCGCAGTACAAGCTACGTGAATTTAAGGTAAGTAATATCTCATGTAAAACTACCAAAATAAATAAGTTTATTGACTAAGTTCTTTTGCTAGTCTAATGAAAATTGAAAAAAGTATAAATTTATAAAGTATACATTAATTTTTTAATAATCTTTCAACAACACAAGCTCTTCAACTCTTTTATTTCAGGATTTATTCTTTTTAAACCTTGTTAAAACTATATTTCTAACCGCATTATAACAATCATATTTCGCATAGGTCACCGATGCCCGAGATGGTTCCTCACGCACCGTGCGCCAGTTTCAATTCATCGACTGGCCGGAACAGGGAGTACCCAAGTCCGGGGAGGGCTTCATCGACTTCATCGGACAAGTGCACAAGACCAAGGAGCAGTTCGGCCAGGATGGACCCATTACCGTGCATTGCTCAGCGGGTGTCGGCCGCTCCGGTGTCTTCATCACCCTCAGCATTGTGCTGGAGCGAATGCAGTACGAGGGCGTGCTAGACGTCTTCCAGACTGTCCGCATTCTTCGTTCCCAGCGTCCGGCGATGGTTCAAACAGAGGTGAACTCGTACAAAACAAAACCATTATTGATTTAAAGACAAATACATTTTATTTTAGGATCAATACCACTTCTGCTACCGCGCTGCATTGGAGTACTTGGGCTCGTTCGACAACTATGCTAATTGAGGAGCAATTTTCCAGGCAATAGAGCCATAGAGCAAACCCCTTACGCATAATACGCATTTACGATATCACGATGACTCTAAAGTATTATAACCAGCTACTGCCTACGATTTAATACACCTATTCTTATATACATACGTCAATATGATTAGCCAATAAGCGCACCCCTCGCCCCCAGGTTACGTTACAGCTGCGATTCTTTTGGGGCTCTGGTCTCTTCTGCGTTTGATTTCATTGATAATGTGAACTTAAAAAGACTGGTACAGGTTTAATTATCAGTAATTTTATATCAGCTCATATATATATATGCATCAAGTCTTTGCTTGAACTACACAGCTGAGGAGAGAGGAGGCCAATCACTTGATGTTCGTGGAGCCATGCTTAGGGCGGACCACTGGAAACCGATACATATTTGAACTAAGGACTTGGTAGCTATTAGACTTACCTCCTAAAAAGAATCTCAAAGGAACGTGAACGTATGTATAGGGTCGAAAGTAGTTGTCATTTGAGTTAATGTTCGGGGAGTTTTGAAAGTAAATCAAATTGCCATTACGACGTAGACGTGTATAGGAAATACAACAATCAATCAATCAAACACTATTATGTTGATCAGTTTTTATAAACTTGGTTGGCCTAAATATAACCCGTGCAATTAGTCAAAAGTCTTGCGTAGAACATAATTTATAGGAAGGATAGTTTTACTTATTAAAATTAAGTTTGAATCCCACTTGAGAAAGATACTTTGTAACTTCCAGCTAAGTAACCTCATTCCCCCGACTCCAGTTTAGTTTCCCCCACTTACATTCCTGTATATACCACAGTAATACCCAATTTTAGACCCAAAAGCTAAACAATTACTGTACCTAAGGTGACGATGAAGTTAATATTCAAGCCAGCAGACTAGCGGAATAACTGTAGATATGTACTGTAGCATATACACTTTTACCCCATAGAACGAAACGAGACATTGGCATAGTACTTTAGGTACACAATTATGTATATAACTGATAAGATGTTTTGCAGATCGTTCAAGTCGTGCCCGTATTATATATAGCATAGCGAACACGAAATTATTAACCGAAAACACATGTTAAACAGTAATTATTAATATATGTAAACTAAATATTTATACGAAATACAAGATATTTGTTACGAAGCCCCTAGCATGTTGCCCCCCTCGCCAACAGATCCGGATGTGTTAAGAAGTAGTAAATTTTGCAGCGCTGTTGGCCTCCAGCTGGGCATTATTCTGAATAAGTCGAGAGATGAAAATTAAACCAACACATTAGCATTAGCAGAAATAGATGTCTAAACAAGGATAACCCCGCAGAGTTTTGCAAACTAATTAAAGTAAATATATACCATACAAGTCACTTGGGAAATGCGAGTGAGTACATTGTATATTACATTTTGTCGGCTTGTCAAATTTTGTTGAAATATAAATTGTTTAAACTATGTTTTACCAAGTAGACGACGGATTATGTAAAGGGTTCAAAGGTAAATGGATTTACCAGCAAAAGCATAATGATTATAGTAATCAAGCCACAGATGAGCATATGTATTTCGCATAAATGTATGAATAGGAAAAACATATTACGTTTAAAAATACCGTATAAATGATATATCATTTTCAGAAAACAAAAAAAAAGCAAAAACCAACGCAAAAAATAATAAAGATGAAGTAACACGTAAAAGAAAATATTGATTTGAGTATTATTTTGGCTTGGGAATAATATATGAACTACGGAATGCGGAAAATACATTGTCCATTATAACGTAATATATATTGTTATTATACGGGTAAGTTAGTATGGTTGAAAAATGGATGGAATACGGCGTAAGATCCTCGGTAGTTGGTTGGACACTGATTGATGACCAATTGAAGTTTTATAAATATAATTTCATTTGGGAATTTTATTTTTGAAACATTTTTCAATTTTTTCACAATTTGATTGAAAATAGTTGGCATTTTTTAATAGCTAGATCAACTCGGCTGTTCAAGAATATATATAATTATATAACAAGAAAGAAAGCTAACTTGGGTCAGCCAAAGTTTGTATACCCTTGCAGGTAACAATTAAAATATCTCATAACTAAGCCAAAAATGCATTAATTTCAATTCGGAAAGCCGTTTTGTGTTAGTTTTTATTAATTTAAAAAAACTGCATACCAAATTTAAAATTTTAAGAAATCAAAATTCTTGGGCATTTTTGCTAATTTTAATGATGTAACCCCTTATCAAATTTCGCAAAAATGTCCAAAAAATCGATTTCTTCCGGACATGTCTAGAAAGATTCTCCTGTTGATGCTGATCAAGAATATATGTGCTTTATGGGGTCGGAAATGATTCCTTGACTTAGAAAAATATTATTTTGTATTTTAAAATCGGATTTTTTATATTAAAAAACTTCTTGATTTTTTTAAATTAAAAATATCATAACTCCGCCAAAAGAGCATTAATTTTAAATTGGAAAACTGTTTTGTGCAAGATTTTCTACAGTTAATAAATCTGCATACTTTATTTAAAAATATTGAAAATTCAATTTTTTATCAAAATCAAAAATTTTAATGATGTAACCCCTTATAACATTTTGCAAAAATGGCCAAAAAATCGATTTCTTCCTGACATATCTAGAAAGATTCCCCTGTTGATGCTGATCAAGAATATATATACTTTATAGGGTAAGTATAATGCCAAGGGTATATGCCAAGGGTATAAAAACACCTTAATGAGATGTGACAAAAATTGACACTTTATACTCAAATAAATTCTGTGATATTAATTTTTCACGATTAATAGTAAAATTAACAAAAAGTAGATTACAAATATTTCAACCAGAAAACTCAAGAAATGTTATATATCTTAAATAAATTTTTAAAATTTAGTGATTGTAAAATCAAAAAAAAAAGGTGTAAAGTATAAACTGCATAAAGAAAACTTAATCGAAATAACATAAACTTAACAATCAGTTTCGACCTTCAGTGGGCTGCACAGTGGTCTGAGCAAGCTCTGTCAATATGTTCACGGGATCCTCGCTACGCAGGTAGCCATTGTGTTCCGGATGCGGCTCGAATAGCACTTCCCCCCGGACAACTCTCACCCGGGGGCCGTGGGCTCGCGCCGTGAACTTAACCTTGCCGCATGTATCCGGCCGAAGACGCCGATGAGCACGTAAACCGCTGACGACTACAAAGTATTTGTCGCACCCATAGCATTTATAGCGCTTCATTCCAATATGACGGGATAAGTGGGATATAAGAGTTTCCCTGTGAGTAAAATCCAAGGAGCAGACCTGCCAAAGTTTGAAAAGATTTCGTTAGTTTATAAGTTTTGTTTGATCACCAAAAGAGCTTATAATTTATATACTTAATTTCTTAGTTTTGCTACCTCCTAAAATGTTGCTCACCTTGCATTTAAAGGGCTTTTCTCCAGTGTGACGACGATGGTGCACTCGTACTTGCCCAGGGGTTCGAAAACGTTTCTCGCAATAGTCGCACTTATGCGGCAATTCCCCTGTGTGTATGGTCTTGTGAATGCGGAGGGCTCCGAATGTTGTAAAAGTCTTAGAGCACTCTGTGCACTGGAATTCCGTGCATTTTTCTGTAGTCTTTTTGCTCTGCCTTGCCCTTTTTGGTGGTTTATCAGGTTTTAAATTCGTAGGTGGTAGGACCTTTGTGGCACCAACCACAATTGGTGGAGTGGTCGGCGTTGAAACCGTCGCATCCATACGCAAAGGAGCTACATTTACAAACTTTCCATCTGAACAAGGATTCGGCACTTGTTGATTAGATTCCACAGGTGGTGAGTCCTGTGAAAGTACTGAAAATAAACAAATTAAACAAATTTTGCTTTGATCTATATGAAACTTAACAACAATCTACTTACATTTATATGGCATTAATATCACCTTTAGAATACTCAATTGTTCTTGGCTGATATTATGATTGCTTATCAAATGCATACGAATCGCGTAATTCTGGTCGTAGGATCGATTGCAGAAAGGACACTTCCACAGGAAACCATAGAGCGGATTGGTTGCACGCAATTCCTTTGCCACCGCAACGGACAATGGATTGAGCACTAGCTGAATGGGCTTTGGTGCATTTGCAGATTCAGCCATTTTAGCGGATACGGGAGGATAATTGCTTTTGATAACTGCAGCTTGCAGAACTGTTCCTGGCAGCGGCAAAGTCTTCTCGATGGAACGTATTTGGTTGCGAATTTCTGAAATGATCTTCATGGATTCCGGGTGGCTTTCAGCCTTGTTGAACGCATCCTGAATCAATGATGTGTTCCGACCATGGATCTGAGGGGGCAGCGGACCTGCTCTAATAACAGGTAATATTGGTTTAGCTTCCTCCGGCTTGATTTGGCTTATTGTTAGCGCCTGCGGAATCACAATAGCACTGGGTGTCGACTTTTCCGGAACATTCTGAACGTATATGTTGGATTTATTTTGGACTGCCGGAGTAGCTTGACCACCCACCATCTTAATGATTTTGGTGTTGGGTGGCAGCTTGATGACCATGCAATTGCTGGGCAAGGATTTTAATATATTCGCTGTGGTCTGTGCTGGTTTCTTTGGCAACATTCTTATCTTGTCGGAAGCCAGTTGTAAGGTGTTTGACTGAAGAATTTCATTTGAAACAGCTGGGGAGGGAGGAAGTTATCAAAGAGTTAAATAAAATATAATTGTATTTTACAAAACACATCTTACATTTTGGCTTAATCTGCTCGCTGTTTAATTTCCTGGCGGGCAGGCGCAGTTTGCTCCTAAGTGGATTGGGTATACTTGACCAGAAGGCATCGTAACTGTTGATGGTCTCCTCCGCGGTATCCGGATCCTCCTTGATTTTAACTTGAAGAGGTTCGCATTTCACAACCTCCACTGGCATATGTGCCATCTCTTCCTCCACTTCCAGTGGTTCCTCCTTGACCTGCACATTACACAGCGCCTGGGCGGTAACCGACGCTGCACTGACTGCCACCAGCTCTGCTTTGGTCGATACTCTATCGATGTATTCTACCTGGCCGCAAAGGTAGCTGCCATTCTTTCGGTGCCCCTTGATTTTATCAAGGGAATCGAAATGCTGACGACAAATGGCACAGACGAAACGATAGACATAAGCATGATTATGCATATGACTGGCCAAGTTGTCCGCGTCTTTGGCCACGAAATCGCAGATCTAATATCAATAAAAAACTTTGAAAATAAATAAATTATAAAATCGAAAAGGTTTAGAAAGCTCACCCTACAACAGAGCACAAGCCCGGGTCGAGAATGCTGCCGATACTCGTGTTCCAGGATCTGCTCCAAAGAGTCGAGCCAGGCGCCACATCTGAACTTGCAGAAGTGTCGGTTTATTTGATGGTCCACCATATGCGCCGCAATATCCAGGTGCTTGTTGAATACGAAGTGACAGATTTTGCATTCGAAAGGCGTGGAAGCCTGAAATGGAACATACATATGTATTTATATGTAAATAGGGAGCTCAAGTTTCAAAAAACAAGAAAATAACCTAATATGCAAGTTGGGAAATCCTAAAAGACATCATCATTAAAAGGTAAGACATCCCTGTGCCCTTAACTTCACATAAATTATAGGTTATGGATGGATTTTCCCGCTTACCTGTTGCTGGCTGCCACCACTGATCTTCCTAGCAACGGACATGCGTTCATCCTGCGAGCACTCGCTGACCGGCATTTGCATTTGTGAATCCTCCGCTCCGATCATTTTCAAAGTTTCGCCCGCTGCAATAATAAATTTTTTCAAAATGCTAAAAAGTTAACGGTAAAGTGCGTAATAAAAGCACAGAGAGTCACACACATACACACACACACATAAACACAGACGCCGCCTGTGTGCCGAGAGCGATTTGCAAGCACGCTTACCCCAAGATATTGGCACGGTACTGTTATCCGACAACCCATCATCCGGCTCCAGCTTGATCTCAGTATCGTCAATGTCCACCTCCTGCTTCACTATAGCCAAATCCACGTGCATTTGGGCTTTAATTAGAGGATGCTTTCGAGAGTACGCAAAAAAATATACCGCTGCGCTGCGATCAGTTGCCTATCAGCTATCGATATATGCGTGTATCGATAGGTGCGCAGGCCTTATCTCCAGCGATAGCCCGATGACCGATAACATTTTTTATTGAAAACCCACCACCACTTGCTGAATTGGGAAACAACAAAAAATTCGCTATTTGCTGTTTAATAATAAACACATAGTAAAGTTGACGTGCAAACTATTGGGACCCTTGCATTCATAGTCCTTACAAATAAAAAGTCGAACTAAAATATCAGGATACAACAGCGTTTTGGGAAATGAGCAACAGCGAGGACTCTCAACAGTATCTGAACGACATGCTGGTCAAGGAGGAGGACGAGGCTTCTGGCGGTAAGCTGAAGTAAATAGTTTCCTTTGCCTCTTGCGTTCACATCCTTCGGTTTCATCCCCAGACGAGTCGGATAAACAGGACGGGAGCATTATGTTGCGGGAGCAGGACCGCTTTCTGCCCATCTGCAACATTATCAAAATCATGAAGGTGCCGGTGCCGCAAAACGGCAAGATAGCAAAGGATGCCCGCGAGTGCATCCAGGAGTGCGTTTCCGAGTTTATTTCCTTCATCAGCAGCGAGGCCATAGAGCGCAGCGTGGCCGAAAATCGGAAGACCGTCAACGGGGACGATCTGCTGGTGGCCTTCAGCAACCTAGGGTTCGACAATTACGTGGAGCCGCTCTCCATATATTTGCAAAAGTATCGCGAGGTGAGAAGTCTCGAACAACTGCCATTGTTTCTCTCTAATCCCTTGTCCTTCCTCCTGCAGTCAAACAAATCGGATCGAAATCTGTTCCTGGACGCCAGCTATGCTCAAAATGAAGATGGTTCGTCCACGAATGAGGGGGCGAAGCAGCAATAGCCGGGGTTTATTGGGTGGGATGCCGACTACAGATATAAAGCCAACAATTTTGAAGGGATAAAGTAAAGTGTGTAAGAAGGGATTATTATTTAAGTGTTTCTTTTTTTTTATAATTATTTTTTCAATATCTATAAGTTTATGTTTAAGTTATACGGGTTTCAAAACAATTTAAGGCGTAATTCTAAAATATATATTTTATTTTATATAAACAAACATATTAAGGAGTCTTTAATTTAAGCTTGATTAAATATCACTGTCTGAAAAATTATATATTAAAATTACAGATATCAGAAACGGTTAAAGCTACAGAACACATTTAAAATTTTATTTACTTTTTCTATAAAATCAAATGTATAATATCATTTTTTCCGGTCATCTCATGATTTTCTTTAAGCAGCTTCAACGTTCAGGATCCAAGAACCTCTTGTGTACTTTCAGCTTCTAGTTTCAGGACTTGAGCAGCTCCGTTTTTGATCCCGTTTCCTCTCCTTATATCTTACGCTTAAGGGTTCCCTCTCGCAGTTTTATTTCAATTGAAAGTGAATAGCCTCTTTCAAAAAAGCTCAAAAATATGACGTAGTCCGAGTCGGAAATATGTTTCAAAGCACCAAATATACTTCCAAATAAAACACGATTTATGGTTGAGATGTTAACCACTCTCCGAGTGGCTGTTAGTTTCATTTTTAAAACACCAATTATTACTGGGTCCTCTACATTTCTACACATACATATACGCTCAAGGATATTACTTATTACATCTGTATATTTATGGTATATATATATATATATATATATATGTATATTCCTATATCGTGAATACTAAATCATATTTTTCTCGCAGTACGTATGCATGTGTGTATGTGTATAAAAGTAAAAACAAAAACTTAAGGAACATTTCGTATTATACGTTTCTATGTATGGCATTTTTCCCCTAAGTCACTTACGAATAAATAACGCATTAAAATCACTGGTAGATGGTACAGACTACTTGGTAAAAACTAGAAGACGTGATGTGTGTGGCACGGGTACGAGAAATGTACAAAAGGGTCTATAAAATAGTACAGCTAAAACCTAGAATAAAATGATTTTGTGTGGGAACTGGGGAGACTACACCAGCAGCGTCTCGTCGGACTCCGATTCCAGGGGCTCGTCTTTGATTCGATTGCCTAGTGGCGAGGACGGAAGACCAGTGGCATAGTCGCTGAAGAATATGTTTGCGTCATCGTGATTGAGATGGAGCGTGGGAGCCGCTCCTGGACGTAGCTCACCCGGCTTGGCAAAGCAGTGGGGCTCAAAGTGTCGGCAGCAAATGTGCTTTGAGTGGTCCCACTTCGGTATTGTCTCTATTTTGAGATTGTAACACCATTTGGCGCGCTGGTTGCGATTCTCCGGGAACCCAAGCATCGGCAACTCTACGTTGTCGCCACCGCAGATGACACAGCTCAGCGTCTTGTTCATGGGCAGGTGCATGGAGCAAATGTGCTTGCCCAAATACCGCTGTGTGTCAGTGAGCCGGAGAGCCTGGCACCACTGTCTGAGAAGAGTGGGATCTGCCGGAGATAATATAAAAAATTGTGAACTGAAAAGGATACGTTTCAGGTTTTTTTTCTTACCACTTGGAAACTTGTGCAGCTTCACATTTCCGTTGTAGTGGCAGTCTGCCATGCAGCAGATAGGTGTAATTTTGACAGGAGGATTTTTTTCCTTTTTAGTACGTATCTGGCCAGCTGCTTGAGGGTTCAAATGCTTTGTGGGAATGGCGTTGCGCATTAGACGCCTGACTCCAATCAGCTCTGGCTCGAAGTGACGGCTGCAGATCAGACGAGTGTTTCGCTGCGACTCTTTAAACACCATTCCGGTGGCCCGCTCCCAGTTGCTAATAGAGTTTCTGTTGTTCGGAAGCCGAAACAGCTTGATGCCATCGCCTCGAAAGGCACGACAATAGGGGAGGCAGCATTGCTTGACTTTCCAGGGCGGAATCTGGTTAGGAGGGCAGGCGCCATCTGTCTTAAAACGTCGCCTCCTTTTGATGCCAATTACATCGGGTTTTACATCGTCTTCGGCTTCCTCATCATCGTCGTCGTCCTCCTGTAAGCCATCTTCTTCCTCCGCGTCGCTATCCAGCTCACTGCGATCGGTCACCTGCTCCTCCTCGCACTGTTCGTTCGTAAATATTGTTTCTGGCACGTTGTCGCCAAGTTCCAGTGTGGGCACCGCCCAGGGCCGCAGCTTCCTTAGACTTACGCAATGCGGCTCGAAATGAACGCTGCATATCATGAATTTCCACGGTGTCCGCTCATCATAGCGGATGCGGAGGTTGTGCATCCAACGTTCCTGTTGCCGCCTCGATTTGGGAAACTTGTAAATGTGGACGCCATGCTGGGACCTTTGGCGCTGGCAGTGAGCCAGCGAGCACTTATCGTAGCCAGACTTGATCTGGCTGTAGACAATTTTCTCCTGCTTCACAGGTGCTAATTGCAATTTGCTGTTCCAGCTTGATATCTTATCGTCTTGATCCTCGTGTAACTGGAGCTCGGGCTCCAGGAACACAGAATCCTCATCCTCCTCCCTCCTCTCATGCTTGATATACACGTTGGCATTTGACTCGGTCAACCTTTTATCCAGCCTTAGGTTAATGGCTTCGAAGTCGTTGTCAAACAGCTCAGAGGGAGCCTTGGGGCCCAACTTTAAGGTGGGCACGCTTCCGTGGACTAGACGCATATTGACCAAGCACACCGGATGGAAATGCGCACTGCAGATGCGGTAACGCCAGCGGTAGTAGGGGTCGAACGGCACTTGTGTGTTGTGCTGCCACTTGAGGCACATGTCCTCCGAATGGGGAAACTTGTGCAGGGTCATGTTCTCGGTGGTCAGGTGGTTCGGGCAAGAATCAATCTGGCAAAACTTGCTTGACTTCCGAGGTGGCGCCCGTGGGGGTAAACATAAATGGGACACCTCTTTTTGAAGTCTGGATGCCGCAGTCGTATTTTCCTCCAACTGAACCTCCGGTGGGTCTGGAAATGGATCATCCCCATCTGGTAGGGCAAACTCATTGTCGTACACCTTGTCCGGTCGCCGAGGTCCTAACAAAAGCGTGGGCATCGCGCCTTTTCGGATCCTAGCACTCTGAAAGCACTCTTGATCGAAGTGGTAACTGCATATGCGGTAGCGCCACCAGAACTTTTCGTCCATGTCAACTTGAGTGTTGTGCATCCACTTTTGGGCGGCGTCCTGCGATGCTGGGAATTTGTGCAGCTTAATCGTGCCATCCACATCCTCGACAGTCACCTGGCATCCCTCCACAGCACAGTGATTAGCATTGTATTGGCAACGTATGGGTGAAGATCGGAAGGGTGCATTGTCGGCATAGATCACCGGTGATTTATCCACTTTCTCATAGCTCTCCATTCGCTCGACATGGCCTACTTCTAGGAGTACTTCTAGGGCCTGCATCTCCGGGTTTTCATCTTCATAGTCTGATTCCATCCGCTCCATCTTTAAAATGGGTTCGGTCTTAACCACATCCCCATATGAGTCCGACTCCTCGGACTTAACCACATCCCCATATGAGTCCGACTCCTCGTTCTCCTCTGCGTCTGCTTTTGCTGCTGCTGCTTGCTTGTTGATCATGTCCTGCCACTGCTCGACGGTTGGATTTTGGTAAATTGCCTCGCCAGGCAGGCGCAGGGTAGGCACGCTCCATGAGTGCAGGCGCCTGTCGTCGAAGAAGCAGCATGGCTCAAAGTGATTGTGACACACCTTGAACATGTACCGCTGCTGCTCCAAGAACTCAAACTGGCCATTGGCTATCCACATCTGCAGAATGTCTTTGCTTTGCGGCATCCCGTGCAACGGCACCCCGTCCCGGGGCTTAACCGTGTCGCACCCCTTGATCGTACAACTCACAATCTTCACGCGTCTGTTGCTCCGCGCATCCTTGTAATTGTCCTCAACAAGCATTCGGCTTGAAGCATGAAGCTCCGGATAGTGTGTGGCACTATACTGGTAGAGGATGACATAGTGCAGCGGGCACAGCAGTGCGACTCCTTCCTCTTTCGGGTCTTCTATGTCCATATGGCTTAGCCAGGCATTCCGCAGATGCTCCTCCATGGGCAGCCCGTAAGAAAGATTCTTGGGCAAACAGGTTTCCTCGCACTTTGGATAACAACAATAAATTTTCGGCGTCATTCCGGAACGCTTTTGTAACTTTAAGCTCGAGTCCGCTGGGTAAATATCCGGAGAAGAGTGGCCCAATTCCAAGGTTGGTATCGAGGTACTTGAGCTCATTCCATTTGTACCCAGGTTGGAGGTGGTCTCAAAGTGAGCATTGCAGACCCTCAGCTTGCCGAGCTGATCCACGGGAGTTTCCAGACGAAGGTTATGCCTCCATTTGTTGGCCATGGCCAACAATTTCGGAAATCCACGAAACTTACGGTCCCCAGTTTGCCAGACATTTCCGCAGCCTGGCACGCAGCACTTATCCGTCTTATTGTGGCACAAGAGACTTTCCGGATTTGGAAGCATATCCACCTCGTCGTCATGGCCCAGCAGGAGGGTGGGAAGTGCACCAGAACGCAGTCCCTTGTTAGCCCCAAAGCAAAACGCCTCAAAGTGTTTCTCGCAGATGTACTGCTGCTCCCCCTGCATGAGATCCGTTGGATAGACTTTAAGGTTATTGCTCCACGCCTCCAGTTGAGCAGCAATTTTTGGTATCTTAAAGTAGCGGAGACGGCTTCCGTTGGCTTCGTTCTTTACACATCCCGTCACAAGACACTGCCTCTCCATTTCATCTCTGCTCAATTCGAGAGTAGGCACCGCGCCCTCCATCAATTCTCCAGTATCGGGGTCAAAGCACTCCTTGGCAAAGTGGAACTGGCACACCTTGAACCCATGGCTCCTGGCCTGCATGGAACGATGTCTGCATGCGGCTGCCCACTTTCGAGTGGTCGCCATGTCCTCGGGATAATCAAATAGCCTCACTCCCCCCTCCTCCTCCTGTCCTCCTTCCTGAAAGCAAGAAATGACAGAGCAGAAGCGTTCGCGGATAAATCGCATTGCTTGCTCTGTTTCCTGGCTGTCGGAAATATTGCCATTGTGCTTGGCATTCGGAATTACATGACCCTCGTGTCCCAGGTTCAAGGTGGGCTCAGCCCAGCTTCGAAGTTGCTTCATACAAATAGCCTCGGGCTCAAAATGCGACTGGCACACGTACAAGTCCATGGGATCAACCAGTCGTGGCTGCTGTTGGGTGTTCACCAGCCACCGAAGCAGCGCCTGCTCCTCGGTGGGAAAGCGAAAGAGCCTCACTTGACTGCTTCCAAACTGTCCACAAGAGGGAATGCAGCATATCCGGATCCTGCCCCGGGGACTGGGGCTTGCACTTGCACAGGGACTGCCCAAGAAGGCGAGGTCCGTCTTAATACGCAGGGGAGTCAACATGGAGATCTGCTCCTCTGGCAGTGGCCTAGTATTTAAGTGAATCTCATCTTTATGGTTCAGATGGAGAGTGGGTATAGCTTCTTTTAACGGGCCATTCGTATCCAAGTACTCGGATTCGAAGTGGAGTGTGCAAATCCGATAGCTTTGGTGCCTCTCAGAATCGTAGGAGATCTTGGTGTTGTGTAACCACTTCAACAACGTCTCCTTGTTATCGGGAAGCTGGATTAAGTAAACGTCCGGATCAGCTTCTTCGAAACAGCAACCGGGCACTGTGCATTGCAGTTCGTCCACAGCCTTTTGTAGCGCCACTAAGACTTGGGGGTGTAGAACATAAGGAAGATGGAACTTTTTGAAAGCCTCTATAAAGTGGTTAGCACATAGTCTGGCCTGCTCCTCGCTGGGTTCAGATAGGTTCAAGCAGGAGAAGCAGGCTTCTCTGATAATACTGTTATCCGGCAGATCGATAAAGGTTAAGCGTCCAAAGGTATTATGGGTGCAGTCAGGCACTAGACAGATCCCATTGCTTCTGTATAGATTCCAGCTGCTGTGGCCCAGGTTCAAGGTGGGCACAGCCTCTGCCTCTGCTTCTTTAGAGAGATTACCATTCTCCAAAAGCTGCGGTTCAAAGTGCGCCAAACAAACTCTTTTCAGGCTCAGAGATGTGGTGTCAGCCTCAGTGGCCAGCCTTAAATTGTGGCTCCACTTTCTCAGCAGGGTCCTTTCCTCGGGAAAATGCAGCAATTGGCTAACTTCTTGGTTTCCGCAACTGCTGATGCAGCATATTGGTGATTCACTTTCAATTTGAGTCATCTTCTTTGCTTCCTTCTGTCGCTCCATTTGCATCTCCATCTCCATCTCCCACTCCCGCTTCATCATCGGCATCTCCAGCGCTTTCCTCTTGGCCAGGGGAATATCCGGCGGCTCCGTTAGCTTCCTTTTGCGGCAGTGTTTCAGGCTCCAAAGCCGAAAAACCGAATGCTGCGGCTGGGGATCCTGCTCAACGAGATTCTGCTCCACGCCATGGCAGGAGTACCTAAGCGGCTCCTCATGTCCCACATTGATAGTGGGCACCGCATTTTGCTTGAGCTTACGCGTGCCGAGTACCTCCGGCTGGAAGTGCTCGATGCAAACCCTACCCACACAGTCGTCCGGGTTTAGATGCAGATTGGCACACCACTTCAGCAGCAATTGGCGATCTTTTGGAAAGCCAAAAGTGCTCAGCAGGTGGAAGGCAGTGCGTTCCTTCCTGCAGTGCTTTAGGCAGCAAATGGGCGTCACATTGTTAGCCGGCTTGTCTCGTCGCGGAGCTTGGTGCCGTCGCGGTAAAGGGGAAGGTGGGAGGCTTGGAAGCTGTTCTATTTCCTCCTTGACATCGTATCTGGAGGGGGAGTCCTCTTCTTCTGCATCCTCATAGTCTTGGGCCTCGTCGTCGCTGCGATGTTCAGCAAAAGTCTCTACCAGTTCAAGAGGATCAAAATAGTGATCATCTTTGTCCTCGTCTGGATGATCCTCCAGGTCATCTGGGTTCTGCTGCTCGCCATCATTCCCTTCGTCCTCCTCCTCCTCCCCCTCCTCCTCTTCGAACACCTCTTTCTTTGGTTTCAGCCGCGGGAACTCTGGGGTTATGCCCTCCTCTTCTTCGGTCATGCCCGCCTTAATAGCTTCATTGTCATAGATTAATCCCTCATCGTGTCCCAGTTGCAGTGTAGGCACGGCTCCAGTTTTCAACTTTAGCTTACCCCGCACCTGCGGTTCGAAGTGATTGGCACAGATCCGACCGCGACACTGATCCGGAGACAGCCGTAGATTGGCTCGCCATTTCTCCAGAAGATCCTCGCTCCTAGGATACCGGTAGGTACGCAGGTCGTTGTCAATACTCCTCCGCTTGCGGCAGTGTCCCAGGGCACAGGTGGGGGTGAAGAATCCCGGTATATTCTTTGGGTTCTCGTAGATCGGTTGGTCATTGTGTCCCAACTGTTGGGTGGGCATCGCCCAGCTTCTCAGTTGTTTGCCCTCGATGCAACGTCGATTGAAGTGGGCGCTGCAGACGCGCGTCGACCGGTCCACCTCCTCGGGTTCCAGGTGCAGGTTGTGACGCCACTTTAGATGCTGCTGCTTGCCGGTGGGAAAGGGAAACAGCCGGGCCCCGTGCTCCAAGCGACTTCTTCCACAGCTGTGCACGCAGCACTTTAGATCGGAAGCATTTCTCTTGATCTTGGTCTGCAATACAAAAAACAACATAAAGTTAATGAAGTTTACTCAAATTTTATATACAAAATTTGAAATTATTATTCTACAATTTTATTTTTAAAAATTAATAATTACAATTAATAAACATTTTGATATAATTCTCACCTGCTTGGAATTGGAGCTTGTGGCAGTCACATCCGCTTTGGGGTTGTCCTCTGTCTCGGACAGCTCCTGCTTGACACTCAGTTCACCGGATCCCTCGTGCAGCAGTCGACGCTGTCGCCCGAATAAATTGCTCTGCAGCTCCGCTGGATTCACCTGGAAAATATCATCCTCATCGTCATGACCAAGCTCCAAGGTAGGCACCGATCCTATGTTTAGCCGCGTCTTCCCAATACAGATATCCTCAAAGTGAGCGTTACAGATCTTGTAGCGCTCACGCTCCTGGAAACTGAGGTGTTCCAGGCGCAGGTTGTGCCGCCAACGCTGAAACAGATCCGGGTCCTTGGGGAAGCTGTTCATTTGCACCTCGTCAAAGCGTCGTGTCTTGCCGCAGGTTGGCACGATGCATTTGAACACTGGATCCACATACCTATCCTCTGGCTTAGGATTCGGGATCAGTTCGATCTGCGCGTCGTCGTGGCCCAGCTCCTGAGTGGGAATGGCCCACTTGTACAGGTGCTTGGGTCCGATGCAATCGGCCTCAAAGTGCTTGTTGCAGATGCGTACCCCAATGCAGTCCACGGGATTCATTTTGAGGTTGTTGCACCACTTCCACAACATATCGTCGTCGTCGGTGGGGAAGCGGAACAGCCGCACCTCCGGCTGCTCCTTGGATGCCTCGCAGCCTTCCACAGCACAATGCTCGTCCGCAAAGGCCTGTGCCTCATTGGGAAAGATATCGTCGTCATCGTGGCCCAGTTCCAGAGTCGGAATGGCACCCGCGCTCAGTCTTCGACCATTGAACGAGTGCGTCTCAAAGTGGCGGGAACAGACCCGGTACTGAGAGCGCATAGCTGCACGTGGCCGCGTCCTTATGTTGTGCATCCACTTCCGTAGCTGGGTGGGACTGTGCGGCAGCCGGAAAAGCTGCACGCCCTGCGCCCGCGTCTTGCGGCAGCTCTCGACGATGCAAACCCGCTGCAGGCACAGTTTGCTGGCCTTTAGCTTGGCCGGGTTCTGGTAGATCTTCAAGCCGGGCGGTGAGTTCAGGTCGAGCGTAGGCACCGCCAGCGGCACCGGGCACTTTTTGCTCAGCACATGCGGCTCGAAGTGGGCCGAGCACAGCCTGCGCTGGGCACTGCCTACCATCGGAACCTGGAGATTATGCGCCCACTTGGCCAATGTGGAGCGATTGAGCTTGGGGAAGCGATACAGCTGGACATTGTGCAGGGCTCGGACTTTGCGACAGTGTGGAAGACAGCATCTGGGCACCCAGGTGGGCTTTGCAGAGGCTGGCGACAGCTTCGCCTTCAAGTGAGTCGTACGTCGCCTGTACAGCATCGATTGCTCTGGATTCTCGTACAGATTCTCGATGTTGCCGGCTAGATTCAACGTCGGAATGGCCCACTGCCGCATCCTCTTGCCGATGCAATGCGCCTCGAAGTGAAGATTGCAGATCCTCATGCTTGTCAGTTGGTTGGCCTCCGTTTGCAGGTTGTGCGCCCACTTGGCCAGCACGGCGGCCTCCTCCGGCGGGCGGTATAGCTTGATGTCGTCCACGCTGGGATTCCTCTTGCAGGTCTCCACACAGCACTCGCCCTGCTCCTCGCCATTGTTGGGAGCCGTGGGACGTGCATAGAACTCGGTTACTTGCTCCGGCGTAGGAAGCGGATAAGCGATATCCTCGTGCCCCAGGATCAGAGTGGGCACTGCCCACTTCTCCAGCCTCTTGTTGCGCAGGCAGCGATCCTCGAAGTGGACCTCACAGATCGCATCGTTGAAGAGCTTACTGCCATCGGGCACGCTGCGCTGCAGGTTAGCACACCATTTCTTTAGTAACGCCATGTTGCTGGGGAAACGATGCAGGTTGGCATGGTCCCTGTCTCTGTTCCGCTTGCACACAGCCACACAGCATGTCTCCCGAATGTTCAGCTTCTTGATCACGTCGGGATTGCGGTGGATGTCGTCATCGTCGTGGCCCAAGTGAAGAGTGGGCACAGCAAACGGTCGCATGCAGCCGCCGATGCAGTAGGGCTCGAAGTGAAGGCTACAGATTCGCATTCCCTTGTGCATCTTGTCCTCGGCAATCTTCAGATTGTGGCACCACTTGCGCATCTGTTCAGGCCGTCGCGGAATCGTGTGGAATGTAATGTTCTCGCTATTGTGCCGCTTGCTCTCGCAACTGGGCACGCAACAGACGTCCATGCTATCGCTGGCGTTTATGGCCGCAGAGCCACCGGCAGCGGCGGACATGGCCAGATGGTAAGAGGCGCTTATCTCCGGGTCCACGTAGTGCGAGGCTGCCGAGCTCGCTGACGACGAGGTGGATGCCACCGAACGACGCTGGTAGGATTTGCTGTGCATCTGCTGTTGCAACGAATGCAGGGATGACTGCTGCTGCTGTTGGAGATGGCAAGAGGAAGGTGTCGGTGTTGGCGGTGGCCACAATTCGTTCTCGTAGATGTTAAAGGTGTCATTGTGGCCCAGGTGAAGCGTGGGCACGGCTCCTAGGAAAGAAATTTAAATAATTAAAAATAATTATCTTGTATCTCTTGCAAAGGACTTTAAACAATTTTCTAACAACTTACCAGGCGACAGTTTACGCAGACCCAGGGCTTCCTTTATAAAGTGGGCGCTGCATATTTTGTGATTCTTGCCGCGGTAGACTCCCGGATCCAGGCGAAGATTGTAGCACCAGCGACGTAACAGAACTTCGTCTCTGGGAAATCGATATAGCGACATATTGAAGTCTGAGGAGCGGCTCCGGCGGCAGAAGTTGAGGCAACAGCGCTTCTCTTCCACGTACAGATTCTTCGGATTGTCGTGGATCTTGCCGTACTGGGCGCCCAGGTGCAGGGTGGGCACTGCCCACGGCTTTAGACGGAACTTGCCAATGCACCGCTCCTCAAAGTGGCGGCTGCAGAAATGTCGCGGCTCCTTCGCCTGCACGGGAAGTCGGGCGTTTTGGCACCACTTAATCAGGCTCTTGATGTCCTTTGGGAAGTTGTAGAACTTGAGATTGCTCTCACCCCGCTGGCTGGTGCAGTGGGGCATGCTGCAGCGCGCCACTTCGCCAGTGGTGAAGGTGTTGGTCAGCTCCCGGTTCTGGTACAGATTGGCTACGTCGTCGTGGCCGAGGTTGAACGTCGGCACAGCCCAGTAGCACAAAGAGTAGCGGTTGATGCAGCGCTTCGGAAAGTGCATGCTGCAAATGCGGAAGCTAACGTAGCTGGAAGCGGGTATGTGGAACATCTTGAGGTTGTGCAGCCACTGGTTGAGGTACTTTTCGTCCTTCGGGAACGTGAAAAACTGCAGAGTGGGACTGGTGCTCTTCCGAACCCCGCACAGCGGCACACAGCACAGGGCATCTTCGGAGTCGTCCAGCGTGGAAGAGTGTGCCTGTGGTCCGGCGATGGCGCCGTGGACTGAGCTGTCGCTGCTGCCATATACATTATTGTAGCCGCTCTCCTGAACGCTATAAGACGATTCGTTGGTCGAGTTACTGTAGCTGCGCTCCAGCTTCACAGGGACTTCGTTCTTCAGCGAAGATGCGGCAAAAATAGCCGCTCCATCGGCATTGGCCTGACGCTGCTGCAGCAATGAATTGAGCGCTGCTGTGGCGGGCAAGGAAGGCGAGTTGGTTGGGTTCGCCTTATGGAGCGGTGCGCTTGGCACTGGGGAAAGACCAGAAAAGAAAAGAAATATATTAAGAGTTTTCCTATTGGCTGATTTTTTGTTAAATCCCAAAACTTACTTTCCATGGTGGCCATATGACAGTCCTGCAGCTTGTAGTTCGTCTGGCTCTGCTGGTGTTGTTGCTGTTGTTGTTGGGAGGATGCGGACGGGGACTGTCCGCCCGCGTAGTATTTACCGCAAAAATAGGGGGCAGCCAGGCGGTGTTCGTGCAGCTCCACAGCCGTTTGATACCACAGGCGGCATACGGGACAGTCGAAGCGCTGCTGGAACTTGTGCTGCGGCAAATGGGCATACAGTTGCTCCCGCGTGGCAAACGATCCCGAACACATCTGCAAAAGACAATCAGTCTAGCAATCATCCAGCGACCAAAACGAGAGCCACTTACGTTGCAAACAATGTTTTCGTATTCGTGCTGCATGTACTCGTGTGCCTCGCATTCTGCGATCGTGGCAAAGTGTTTCCCGCAGTACTTGTGGCAGAAGAACCTGTCCGCTCGATGCTGTTGCTTGTGCAGCTGCAGCTCCTCGGCGGTCATGAAGGACATGGGGCATATGATGCACTTAAAGTCGTACTCCTGAATACCGCAGTTGCTCTCGGCGACGTGGCGCAGGTAAGTCTGCTTCTTGAAGAACACCTCCTTGCATCGCTGGCAAACGGGCAGGCTCTCTGCCGGCGTCAGATCCGATTGTTGCTTGCGGCGTAAAAAGCTATTGGGGTTCTGAAACGGGTTTCGAGTTTTAATCAATTTTAAATGAATTGCAGAGCTGCTGATTTCGCTGGCCTACCCTGACGAAGGACTCATCCTTGACTGTCAGCTCGACTTTGGGACTCAGCATGTCCTCGCTGAAATCGCTAAACTTGCTAAAGTCCGCAAATGGCGTATTGTCGTCTATGTAGTTTGACTTGTAGGCCAGCTCGTCAATGGGTTCCGCTGTAAGTAGGAATGTTTTTTGTGAGCATTTGAAAATATGTTTAAGTTGTAATTTAAGAAAGTTTATTCCTCACAATGACTATTTTTATTTCACAACACTTTTGTTGAAGTTAATTACCAATTTTTGCACTCTTACACCTCAGTTTAATATATTTTAAATTATTATTTAAATTTTTACAACTGCATTAACTATGCGCAGATGAAAATGTATGTACCCAGTGTCGGTTTCTATGGTTTTCTAATAATATTTTGGGGCGGTAGGTGCCTCCCACCCAGCTGATAAGCCTGATATGTGCACACACAATATTTAGAGATAGATCTGAGTAAATTGTACAATCGAATAGTTTTTATATTTACAACAAGTATTTATAAACCCGTCCCCTTTGGACCCGGCTAAACCCCACTTAAAAAATAAAACCCATTAGTATGTGTAAGAATATCGATTTATAGAATGATAAGAAAGAGTTCTGCTAACAATGTCTTGAATAAATATTTAAAAATAAAAGTATGCAAGACCCTAACTAAAATCGTAATTATGTTGTTCTATTATCGTATTAATATTTGTGAGCACAATTCGAACCTGCCCCGCCCACATATATAATATCAATAAAAACGCAGAGGGCGGGCAGGCGTTTATACGGAACATTGTAGGTTAGTCTGGGGAGCGCACATTACATAAGATGCGACTTGGAAGACAACCAACCCATTCCGAAAACCGTTGGGGGAGAAGGAGGATGATATGCACACGTATCTCTATTGGATGTGTGTGCGTAGAAATCGAATTGGCATAGGGTTCGCCGGTAGTATAAAGCATCTATCCGAGAGTATACATTCGCTAAATGGATACATACAGACATCAGTACTTTCGCACACAACACACCGAGAGAACAGAACAGAAACAGAAACAGAACCGTACGGAACGGAACCGAACCGAACAGGGCAGAGATAGAGATACAGAGCCGTAAGTTGACGAGCGACTGGAAACGAAACCAACCGAACGAAACAAGCGCCAAACCTCAGCGAAACTCAACAAATGTTTTATTGATTCGACGCCAAAACTAAGCTGAAATTACGCTACTTATAGGCAAAATAGCTCCGAATAGCAGCGGTGTGCGTGAGATACTTTTTGTATCTTTGGGATACAGTTATCCGAGAGGTCCCAAGCTATTATAAAATCGATTATACACTCGAATACTGTATATAGGAACACCATTATTTAGGGTTGGCTCACATTTTATTATCATTTCTGGGGCCGGGGGTGGGGCCATTGGATTGGGCGGCTGCTGGAATCCCTCCAGGGGTTCGCTCTTGATATAGGGATAGCTCCCGGCCATGACATCGTGGCCCATATAGGATCGCTGGCCCAGGCCCAGATGCTGCGGCTGCTGTTGCTGCTGGTGCTGCTGATGATGATGCTGGTACTGCAGCAGTTGGTTGTGAGCATATGCCACCGTGTTGGCTCCAAGGCCGTAGGACGAACCAGCACCACCCCCCGCCCCGCTGACATTGAGGCCACCGCCAGCGGCGCCGAAATATCCATGCGAGCCTCCACCCCCTCCCACTCCACCTCCGTAGGCGTCCATAATGGTGTTGGTGTTGTTGTTGCCTATGCTGGCCTTGCAAGGGGGCGCAGGGGCGAAGGCCGAGTGGGAGAGGGGGTGGGAGTGGGAGGCTGCTGGGTAGGAAGCAACATGTGAGTACCAACTACTGCCGTGCTGCTGGGGCTGTTGATGCTGCTGCTGCTGCTGCTGCAGAGCCATCGGCGTCGTATGGGACGGGTAGTGGTAGTGTGGGTGGGCGTGATTGGGGTTGTGTTGTGACATCACGGACGGGTGATTGCGGTGATTGCTCCACTCCGCGGCGCCCGAATCGCTTGTTGTGACTCCCGAACACCGAACTTAGGGGCGCGCGCGATTCCTCTCTTTTGTCGCACGCTCTGTTTTTTGCACTGGCGTCTTTTATATACCAGTTTTTCCTCGGCCGTCTGTGTGTATGTGTCGAACTGTCATTGTCGAGGAGTCCGCTGGCGGTCGTCCTTCGGCGGCATTTCACGCCCTCGGGCACACGGCACTTCACAGTTGACACTCTGCAACTAGAATCCAATTGCAAATCGTGAGGCTCTTGGGCGGCTGTTGAATTTTTATCATTTTATTATGCTTTGCTTCTTCTCCCGACGCGCGACGACGAGACGACCACCAGACAACAACAAAGTGCGGCTGCAGCTTGGTCGTTGGAATATACCGTAAAAGCACTCCAATTAGCTTTTAAATTGCACAGAAAAATACCGCAAATATACCAAATCAGCAAGCTTTTTTTTTTACAAAATTTTGTTACCGCGAATATTTTTGAATTTGCTTAAATTAGCAAATGAAATTTTTAGGTTTGATAAAGGCAACATTCTTAATTATATATAGCAAGTCTCAATATCCCCAAGGGCTTTTACTATTTACCACATCCAAGATTATATTATTTCTTTAAAATCTTCAAGGATTATGTAACCCATTATTACTTTTCGATCTTGAATGTTTTTTTTGTTTTATTTTTGATGCTACTCAAAAACATATATACTTTAATCACAAATCATACCTTTACGTGAAATTTAGTTATGGTTACCAACTAAGTAATCTTCGGCCCAACCAGACCCACGCGCTGCTGCAACTGCTCTTTAACTTGCTCCTCATCTGCCAGGAACTGCTTCTCCGCCAATCGTAAAAGCGTCCGCCGCAGCTGCGACTTTACTTGTGTCACCTTCGTAGAGTTCATTGCCGAAATGGGCACCACGCTCTCGAACTTCAGTACTTGGCTCGGACGCAGTTCCTCGGGGCATTGCGCCAGCCCGCTAGCCAAGTCTGTGATGACCGGCTTTAGTCTGGTGAAGATCTCGCTGGCGCCTTCCTTGTCCATTTTATTTAGCAACAGCACGCTGGGCTTTTCCAACAGGGTTGGGTCGTACAGCTCCAACTCTTTGTTCAGGGCGTAAATGTTGGCCAGGCAATCCCGATGCGGGTGTCGGGGACTCAGTTGGAAGCCGAAGATGTCCACCATGAAGAGGAGTAGGCGGGTGCGTTCGATGTGCTTGAGGAACTTGTGGCCCATGCCGAAGTTGGCGTGGGCCCCCTCGATGAGACCAGGAAGATCTGCCACGGTGATGGAGCGCAAGTCGCTGTACTCCACGGTACCAATCTGTGGCCGGATGGTGGTGACTGAAAATGAAAATTATATTTACTTTACGGAAAACTCGAGAGCTGGCAAACGAATTACTTACACGGATAAGCCGCAATCTTTGGGTTTGCATTGGAGACGGCCTTGAGCAGCGTGCTCTTCCCCGCATTGGGGAACCCGACGAGTCCCACATCCGCTATCAGCTTCAGGTCCAAATTCACAGTGCGGCTCTCGCCGGGACGTCCCAAAAAGTTAGTTCCTGTGCAACCACCAGTTCCTCCGCCCGCCACAATGCAGGTTGAGTCGTTTTCGTTGAGATCAGCGATCAGTTTGTGGCGCTCGTCATACACCTGAACGCCCACCGGCACCTCGATGCGCTGGTCCACTCCGCGTCGGCCGAAGATGCTTGCCTTGCTGCTGTCCTCGCCGCTGGAGGCTGCCACACGTTTGTCCCGCAATCCTTGGGCCACTTTGCGCAGCGTAAGTCCCTCCTTGGCCACCAAATAGACGCAGCCACCCTGACCGCCGACTCCTCCGTACTTGGGCAACCCGTTTCCCCCATGTCCTCCTCGGACGGCCAGCCGCAATGTGTCCAGGAAGCTGGGTCGGAAGTGGGCTCGGGCGGGCTATGGCAGGAATCAAATGGATTACTTTAATTTCGATTTTTAATCATATTCCTACCGCCTTTGTGGATTTTAACAGGAATTTAAACAGCTGAACCATCAAAATGTGTTTTCTGTTGTCGATAGTTCTATTATCGAATATTCGCGGTTTTGTTACATTTACCAACACTTTTTTCTTGAACAAAATCGGAATCAGCTGATTGATAAAGAAAACAATAAAGCAAAGAGACCAACACGTGAAATGGAGGCGGGTATTTGCTACATAAAACCGGAGTGAGTATTCCCATATTCCTGATAAATAAATAGTAATGGACGTATTCGCTAAAGATACCTGGTACAAGAAGGCAATGAAAGCAGCTTGGCGGTTACATCCGACAAAGGCGAAACCAACAAGAGAAAGCGCGAGGAAGGTGAAACTGAAGCCGGCAAAGCCAAAGACGCCGGTGGAAACAATAAATGGAACAAAAAGGAACGCAAACGGGGTCAGAACAAAGTCAGTAATTAATCGGCATTAAAATATCTTACCTGGAATAAGAGTAACATTTTTCTGTTTATACAGAATCGTCCTGTGTTCAAGGATGAGCGGTACTCGCATCTCTGCCACTCGCTGATCGATGGAACTGGGGGAGAACCCTGTTCCGTTCCGAATTGCCGCTATGTCCATGATCTGGATGCCTTTCTGGCAGCCAAGGGCGAGGACCTTGGCCCAGAGTGCTATGTGTATACAACAAAAGGCTACTGTGCGCGCGGAGTTAGCTGTCGGTTTGCCAAGAGCCACACGGATGAGCTTGGCAGGAACATAAAGCAGCAGGAATACAACGAAAAGGCTCCCACTACATGCAATGGCATAAGCTCAGGTTGGTAAAGCAGCTTCTGCTGAAAACGTAACTTAACTCTCCTTTTCAGAACTTCAGGTGCGGCTGCGGAAGCGTGACTACGATTTTAGTCGTTGCAAGGAGCTCATTAAGCGGGCAGAACAGCTTCGAGACGCCCGAAAGCAAACAGAACAGAAACAGCCAGAGTCTGGGGACGCGTTGGAAGAGCAGCCTGTCCAAGCCAGTGAAGCCGACGAGCAGCCGGAGCCTGCGACAGAGAAACAGGCAAAGTGCACGGACACCGTAGACACTGAAACTTCAGCGGGTTGTGTTATTTATGACTCTACCACTGGAAGAGATGCCGAGCTAAAACCAGCCGTTGATTTCCGCGATAAACTCCTCCTGTCTCCGCTGACCACTGTCGGGAACTTGCCTTTTCGACGCATCTGCAAGGAATTTGGTGCAGACATCACCTGCGGCGAGATGGCCTGCGCTATGCCCCTGGTCAAGGGCCTGGGTCAGGAGTGGGCTTTGACCAAGCGCCATGAAAGCGAGGACGTCTTTGGTGTGCAATTGTGCGGGAACAACCCCAATATGATCGCCCAGGCAGCGCAGGTCATTGCGGAGACGACCCAAGTGAATTTCATAGATCTTAACATTGGTTGTCCGATTGATTTGATTTACCAGCAAGGCGGAGGCAGCGCATTGATGCGGCGCACAAATATCCTGGAGCTTACCGTTCGTAGTTGTGCGGCCCTGTCAGATCGCCTGCCGTTCACCGTGAAAATGCGCACCGGCATCTATGCGGACAAATCCGTAGCGCACGAGCTGCTCCCCTTGGTTGAGGAGTGGGGCGCTTCCGCCGTAACCCTCCACGGGCGATCCAGGGAGCAGCGCTACACCAAGCACGCCAACTGGAGCTACATTGAGGAGTGCGCGGCCAAAGCCAAACGCATGCCAGTGATCGGAAACGGGGACATTCTCAGCTACGAGGACTACGTGGAGAGGCGAAAACTGGCTCCACACGTCAGCTCTGTGATGATTGGGCGAGGAGCGCTCATTAAGCCATGGATCTTCCAGGAAATAAAGGAGCACAAGGCCTGGGAGCCCTCATCAGGTCAACGTTACGACTTGTTGCGCAAGTACTGCAACTATGGACTGGAGCATTGGGGCTCGGACACAAAGGGTGTGGAGACGACCCGACGATTTCTCCTCGAATGGCAGTCGTTCTTGTACCGCTACATACCGGAGGCCCTGCAGCAGGCCCCGCCGCAGAAGATCAACTCGCGACCTCAAAAATACCGAGGGCGCGACGAAATGGAGACCCTCATGAGTTCCGGAAACTCCGCCGACTGGGTGAAGCTGAGCGAATCGCTGCTGGGTCGGGTACCCGAAGGTTTTAGTTTCGTGCCAAAGCACAAGGCAAACGCCTTTTAAACGATTTTCTTTTAGTTTTCATAAACACTAATAAAAGTTATAGTTATTAATTAATTAAACATTTGAATTTCGTTAAAAAACTAAATATCCGCCATCATATCTATCGATGGGTTATATCGATATCGATAATTTATGGTTCTGAACTATACTAGCCTTATATTCGATAATTGCGGCTCTTGAAATCGAACAATCGATATTAGTATACGCGTAGCAGAACAAGAGAAAGGCTTTCCCTGCTTTTCTCGGCCAGCTGATGTTTTAGACGCCAGACAAGTTGGGGCTGTGCACAAGGAAAACGCCTACGCTGGAAGCCGATTGACACCACACACATTACATTAAAAAAAAAACAAGCCTTTGTGTTGTCACTATCAAATATAAAACCAGCCCAATATATTCTGCTCAAATCGAACCTCCCGGCCCCTCGGCCGGATCGGAAAAGTGCATACAAAGTGAACATTGATTTTTAGCCAGTGCCGTGTTCCTCGAGTACCACCAAGAACAACAGCGGAAAAAGCAACAAGATGGTGCAAAAGTTCCAGTCTCCCGTGAGGGTCTACAAGTATCCCTTCGAGCTGGTTATGAAGGTGTGTATCATATTTGCATTAGGCGTAGGCGTGGGTTTCGTAACCCACCTCCTTCCTGTGTTTATTAGTGCATTCATAAATATTCAAGGGCGTGATAGTAGGTGCCATTCCCTTGACTATTCTATGTGCCAATGTGCAGCTGTCGAAGTCCGTTCGCATATTGTATTTATTTTGTCAGCAGTCAGCAGCTTTCCTTGTTTTACAAAAGTGCAGAAGATAAATAAAATTAACCTTGGGCAGCACATCCCCTCTCACATTTCCGGAGCTCTCTCTCCTTGGTGTTGCGCTCCCAGTGAGAAAGAGGAAGATAGAGCATTTGTTTCTCTATACAAAATTTAGTGTACTATCATGAATGGAAACTGCTCTCTCAAAAAATATACATATGTACATATTTGTATGTAGATACATATGTACGCTGAGAGATGGGCGGTTTGGTTTAGTTTGTATTTTGCATTTCGAGATCCGTCCTGCTCAAGTGATACAATTCAATAATGATAATGGAGGCCGGAAATGAGCGATTGCGACCAATTTGGACACTAACAATAATCTCCGAGCTGTCGCATAACGGCACCAGAAATATGAACTAAGTGTGTATGTAAATTTGAGCAGGTGACAAAGACAAATGTAACTTTAAACGTAAATATCTTTTGTCAAAATTTGTTTAATTTTCCGATTTTTCCTATGGCAGCTACTATATGATATAGTCATTTGATCTGGTCTGTTACGTATAAACTAATTAGAATAGAAAAAATACAGACTACGGACATGGCTAGATAAAACTTTATGCTTCTGCTGAGGTCAATTGTTATCCCAGCGCTCCTTTGCTTTAAATAATTTAGTGGTCGATGGGAGTAAACACTGGGACAACAAGCTGTTTCTTGGCCAACAGTTTCCCATGACACTTTACACAAGTGACACGGTCGGCCTTAACTTTTAAATTATATATCATGTCTGGGTTTAATTGTGACTAGGAGGAAGGGCAGCGATCTATAATTCTAACCTTACCCTGTGCATCTTAAAGGACACGCAATTAAGCTGGTGTACTTCTAGCTCATATGAATGTTTCGATTAGACCGCCATGTATAAAGTATAATAAGGTCAAATTATCGATTCATCACATAAAGTTAATACTCAATTAATCAATTTAAAAATTTTTTTAACCCGTAGGCATACGAGCGTCGCTTTCCCACATGTCCTCAGATGCCCATCGTTTTGGACTGCGAGATAATCAAGGACGAGTCACTGGAGAATGGGGCTAAACGGAATACCAGCAGGCGCTGCAAGTTGGCGGTGGAAGCGCCTTACATCTTTAAGAAGCTGATCGGTGTGGATTTCGTGTTTTTCCTGCAGCACAATTACCTTGATATGGGAAACCGCACGCTGAGCATCGAGGCGGTAAACGAAAGCTTCTCCTCGCGCATCGAGATCTTCGAGAGGTGTCGCTACTACTCGCATCCCGACAACTCGGAATGGACGTGCTTCGATCAGACGGCAACGTTGGACATTAAGAACTTCTTTGGCTTTGAGCATTCCATGGAGAAGATGGGAATGAAGCAGTACACCCAGACAACGCTCAAGGGTAAGGAGATAATTGAGTACTTCATTGGCCAGCTGCGCGAGGAGGGTATCACACATGTGGACCGCTGGACGCCACCGGCCGACGCTCCCAAGTCACCGGTCTTGGACCCAGCACCAGATCAGCATCACGACATTATGCTTGACGGTGACTTCATCGCTCGCAGTCTGGGCCAACTCACGCCCATGCAGGAGTCCAAGCTGCTCGAGCTGCGAAAAATGCTAGATGGTGTCGATGATCTGGAGCGATTGCCCAGTTATCAGACCATCTTGCGTTTCTTGGCAGCCAGGGACTGGCATGTAAGTCAGGCCTTCGCCATGCTCTGCGATTCGCTTCGCTGGCGTCGGGAGCACCGCATCGACGCCCTGCTGGAGGAGTACACCGCTCCAGCTGTGGTGGTGGAGCACTTTCCGGGCGGCTGGCATCACCACGACAAGGACGGACGGCCCGTTTACATTCTTCGATTGGGCCATATGGATGTCAAGGGCCTGCTGAAGTCGCTGGGAATGGAAGGACTGCTGCGTTTGGTAAGAATGCCGCCTGCCTCTTTAGTGAATTGCCAAGTGACATCCTAAACTGGCTGCTTTTCGCTGTCCAGGCTTTGCACATTTGCGAGGAAGGCATACAGAAGATCAACGAGTCCGCGGAACGCCTGGAGAAACCTGTGCTCAACTGGTCCCTGCTCGTTGACTTGGAGGGGCTGTCCATGCGTCACTTGTGGCGACCCGGAATCAAGGCTCTTCTATACATCATCGAGACAGTGGAGCGCAATTACCCAGAGACAATGGGCCGTGTTCTGGTAGTGCGGGCGCCAAGGGTGTTCCCCATAGCCTGGACCATTGTTAGTGCTTTCATTGGTGAGTAGTGGTTTTTGCAATCAATTTTGCATCTCAAAAACATTCTTTGTAGACGAGCACACCCGCTCAAAGTTTCTATTCTACGGCCCCGACTGCGTGCACATGAGGGATGGCCTGGCGCAGTATCTGGATGAGGAAGTAGTGCCAGATTTCTTGGGTGGACCATGCAAGGTGAGTACCAAAGGGAGGCTTGCGGCTCTGTGGCACGCCCTCGGTGTTGGGACTCCATGACTCTGTAGGTTACGTACTTACTCTATATATTGTTATATATTTCCACCTCTCTCTTCCCCTTCGACTCCGGCTCAGTTAGAGGCCCGGCCTGTGTCTCTTGTGGAGCAAGTCAGTCAGAAATACTTTCGCCATTGTTATTTAGCCAAATGCAATTGTGTAAGCAGTTCCTCCAACTCTCGCTCTCTCTATTTTCATTCGTCCTGCTTCCGAACTATTTTGTCACCAGCAGTGGCGTACGCAGGACTTCATTGGGGGATTTCGTGAGAGGAGTTTGTAACAGCAATAACAGCCTTCGTACGCCACTGATCCTCCAGCAACCACAAAGAATATTTTTGTATCTATAATCGTCAGCTATTGTCTTACTTCCTCGTTTTTGTTCGTCGCTTACACTTTGTTGTTTGTGCGTCTTTTGTGTTTGCGCAATGTGCAATGTCCATGTGAGCTTGTTAGCCCCCAGTTGTGCTCACCGTTCACATCAGTTCTTGCGTCCCCGATCTCTGTTTCACCCCAGAGGCTGTCACATACGTGCTTAGTCCTTGCCGCCGACCCTTAAATCAGGATCAGCAATTGATCTAAGAAAGTGCGTTATTTTCCCACCACCAGACCATGATACATGAGGGCGGACTAGTGCCCAAAACGCTCTACAAGATGAACTCGCTGGAGGAGGATCACGATGACGACGTGGCCGCCGTTGAGTTGCCAGCCACTGCCAGTGCCGCCGAGTCAATCGCCCCGGCCAAGCGCCTGTCCACAATTATCCAGCACGACCATCAGAACCTGTACAAGAGCGTGGAGCTGAAGGCGGGCTTTAGTCACGAGCTTCTTATCCGAAACGAAGACCCAAAGAGCGTCTTGACATGGGACTTTGATGTGATGCGCAACGACTTGCACTTCACGCTCTACCGGGTCACCCAGGAGCTGCCGGAGAAGAATGGTAAGAGATCATTTCTACATGAAACTATGAAAGTATTTCAGTTTCTTACTAATACACGTATTATATTAAGCATCTCAATTAACTGGTTTAACGCGCTTTTCTATTAAAGATGCCGCGGTGTCGTACTTCGACCTGCAGGATTTCGTTGAGGGCGTCAACTATTTTCGGGAGGAGCCCACTCTCATTTGCCGACACAAGGAGAGCGTCCAGGGCTCGCATGTGATGCACCACAACGACAGCTATTTAATGCACTGGTTCAGTCCCTCGGGAGCTCAGTTGAATGTCTTTTACGAGGTGCTCAGCTCTGTCAACTACAAGGGCTCAATGACAAGCCTGCAATCGGCCTTCTCCTCGAACTCGTCGGCGGCCAGCTCTGTCCAAAGTCGATGATATGAGACGAAGGAAGAGGGTGCGGTAAGAGGCGGAGCCGATGGGATGTCTTCTCCATTGGAGGAGCCACTGGAAGCGAATATGCTAACTGGCACGCTGATAGAGAAAAGCGTCAATCTATCCGACACTCTCGATATATTTTTTTAGGAGGAAAAGTGGCAATCTCATTCTAGTTTCTTTCTTTAGTTAATTTAGCAAACTGCTTTTTGATTTATAAATTTTTCTTCAGCCTGTTTAATATATATTTTTTAATATTTATAATTCTTTTTTTGTACATTTTGGCTTTTTTTTGTAGATGAACAGTTCGGAAATGAATATTTTATTTAAAAAAAGAATTGTCGAATGTCTTAGGAATTTTAAATCATTACTAAACATGTTTAGAATATTAAATGCAAAAGGAAAACACATATTTCAGAGGAATGAAATTACTATGCAACGCAGCATTCCGACTTTATCACATTATTAGATTTTATTTTCGAATCAGCCATCTTACATCAATAATGTTTTATTTGCTAATTGTGCTACTATAATAATACTAGCTAGTAAGAAAATGCGTACCTCTTTGAAAACGTGTTTTTTAAAAAATGCACAACTTATATTTCTGACATTCAGATTAAAGGATTAACGTTTTTTATCACTTTCTCATTATACTCTTGCAGGGTATTAAAATATCAGTCAGAGGTTTGCAACGCAATGAAGGAGACGTTTCCGACCCCATAAACCATATATATTCTTGATCAGCATCAACAGGGGAATCTTTCTAGATATGTCAGGAAAAAATCGATTTTTTGGCCATTTTTGCAAAATATTATAAGGGGTTACATCATTAAAATTTTTGATTTTGATAAAAAATTGAATTTTCAAAATTTTTAAATGAAGTATGCAGATTTATTAACTGTAGAAAATCTTGCACCGTACAGTTTTCCGATTTAAAATTAATGCTCTTTTGGCCGAGTTATGATATTTTTATTTTAAAAAAATCAAGAAGTTTTTTAATATAAAAAATCAGATTTTATAATACAAAATAATATTTTTCTAAGTCAAGGAATCATTTCCGACCCCATAAACCATATATATTCTTGATCAGCATTAACAGGCGAATCTTTCTAGACATGTCCGGAAGAAATCGATTTTTTTGCCATTTTTGCGAAATTTAATAAGCGGTTACATCATTAAAATTAGCAAAAATGCCCAAAAATTTTGATTTCTTAAAATTTTAAATTTGAAAACTAACACAAAACTGCTTTCCGAATCGAAATTAATGCATTTTTGGCATAGTTATGATATATTTTAATTGTTACCTGCAAGGGTATACAAACTTTGGCTGGCCAAAGTTAGCTTTCTTTCTTGTTTTTTTAAATAATTTCCCTTTTAGGTTAAATTTTTCAATATCAAGTTAATTTTTTCCTATTTATTAATTCCCAAATTCAATCAAATCTTCTGATTTCAAAAAGGGTTTTTTCTTTTTATCCGAAAATCGTCTTAGGAATATCTCAAAGAGGTTTTAATATGAAAAAATATGCTTTCAAAGAGGTATGCACATATTTATGTATATCCTTGGAAGCTTGAAAACTAGTGCAATTCATTCGGTAATGTCAGCACTTACATATATCTAGGCGGGGATAATTTTAAACCTTACTTTAAACCGTCAATTAGTCCATTTTACATTATACATACATTTATTTAAACAAATTTTAATTTTATATACATAACTTAGCTTTTAAAATTTTTAAACTAGATGAACGCTAATATAATAGGAATTGCATAAATATATCTATCAATGACTACCCGTTACCTAACTAGTTTAGCCTTTGGAAATCGAGAACATTTAGTTGAAACTCAAAAATTTGCTAAATAAGCAAAATCGTTGTAAACTATTTATAAGATACATGATAATCAATAACGTGACAAGTGGACGTCAATACAAGAAGCCAATAACGAAAATAGAGAACATTGCATGTTGACTAAGTGTGTAAGTTGTAATAAGAACGCAATCAAATAAAACCAGTAAGATTAATTAGTATATGTGTTTATATTGGAAACGGAGCTACTCAGTTTTTGGTTGCAGATCTTACGAGGTAAGGTACCTCCCTTGACCTCTCGGAGATTTCCTCCCATCTCTGTGGAGTTTCTCGCTGAAAACCCACTATCCTTACTTAATTTCATTGCTCCTCAGCTCTAACTGGCTGATTTTGATTCCTGGAAGGAATCCTGGAGGAATGGATCTGAAGGCTTACAACAAAACCTGCAACAATAGCAAACCAACACGACAAGCAACCAATTTAAATGTTGATAACGCACAGCGCCGATAAACCCGCTGAGGCGACTATTCAGCCCTGGTCAATTTCATCCAAGTTCCCCTCCGTGATTTGTGTGGTACGAGCCAAATGTTTACTAGATTTGCTTTTGTTTTTATTTTATGTGATAGGAAATGAAATTTATGAGATCCGTAAAAATAGAGTGAAATTTCCAACTAATCGAGCTGATGGCCCTCGGCCAGTTTTTTGAATTTCGCCTCCACTTCAGTAAATGGGCCTATCTTATCGGTGGGCGGATGTAATCCTCCAGAAGGGGAGTCGCGGTCGATCATGAAGTGCGGATAAGCTGGCTAGGCTTATCGCCGGGCTATTGGTCATTGCCGGCCAATTCGGTCAATAATAGTTACTAGTGCCTGGACTTTCGGGCAGTTCGCGCCTGGCGTTTGAAAAGTCCACATCAGACCCGTTCCCAGTCGCAGAATTGTATTTAGACATGGTTGCATTGAGCACAAAGTAAGTACCTGCCCCCGCGCCCTCGAGCTCCACCAGCGAACACGCATTTAGTGTAATGGCGAGCGCAGACAACGCAGGGGGCGATGGTGGCCAGAGCAACCTGAATCAGTTACTGACCTCCCTGGGCGATTATTACAGCGGCCGCAAGGATGAACAGCCCCCAGCCAATATCCTCGAGGACAAGCGGATCTTTCCGGAGTTCCGCGGTGGACCTTTGGACACGTACCGTCAACGGGCGAGCTTCTGTTACAAGCGCATGAACGTGCTGCTCGAGGGGGAGGAGCACATCCGCCTTAAGGTAATTATATTGGGTTGCCGCGTCGATGGGGTCGAAGTACAAACTTCATTGTAAAGTGGTCGCTGCACCCTGCCGGCCCCATCTTATCGCACCACCCTGCTTATCTGCGCCTTGAGTAACTAACCTGATTACACACTCCCCTCCCTGTGCAGCACAAGGTGTGGCAGTGGATGGAACGCCACCCGGACTTCCAGCGAGAGCCCGAGGCTCCAGGCTTGGAGCGCACCCGAGAGCTGGCCAACAAGAGGCAACACCTGCTCTGGGAGCAGCAGTTCTATGGCGTTAACGAGGTGAGTGGAACCCGTCCAAAAGGCCAGTTAAAGATGAAAGTTATCAACTTTCGCACTTTCAGTACCTGGGAACACCGCACCTGCTGCTGGCCTTTGGCCAGGCCATCTTCAGCTATGACTTCAGCACATCTGTGAAGTTCGGCCTGTCCACGGGCATGTTCCCCAGCACTCTGGTCTCAAACGGATCCGGTCGCCTGGGCAAGTATGTGGCCAAGATCGCCGACAATCGTATCTTGGGTGCCTACGCCCTCACCGAGATCTCGCACGGCACAAATGCGCTTGGCATGCGAACCCGAGCCACTTACGACCTGAAGAGGCAGGAGTTTATCATCCACACGCCGGACTTTGAGGCGGCCAAGTGCTGGGTGGGCAACCTGGGCAAGACCTGCACCCATGCGATTGTGTATGCACAGCTGTATGTGCCGGATGACAAGCACCAGGGATTGCAGGTAAGATTGTTTTAAATCAGTATTCAAGTTAAAATTTCTTCGGATTTCAATCTTAAATTATTTTTTCATAGGCTTTCCTGGTGCCCATCCGTGACGAACGTACTCTGTTACCCTTCCCCGGCGTAACCGTGGGCGATATGGGCGAGAAGATCGGTCTCAATGGCATCGACAACGGGCAAGTCTTCTCCTGCTGCTCTCATGGGGACAACCATTTCAACTTGAAAGTCTTAATTGCAGTTTTGTGATGTTCAACCAATACCGTATTCCCAAGGCCAATCTGCTCTCCAAGACCGGCGACATCGACGAACAGGGAAACTACATCAGCCAGATTAAGGACGAGCGCAAGCGACTGGGTGCCTCGCTGGGCGCCCTCTCCGCAGGACGCGTCAACATCACAGCGATCACGTACGTGGCCCTGAGCAAGGCGGTGACTATTGCCACTCGCTACGGAGCGAGCCGGCGGCAGTTTGGGCCTACAAACTCCCCGGCGGAGTGGCCAGTGATTGAGTATCAGTCGCAGCAGTACCGTCTCATTCCGCACTTGGCCACAGCGATTGCTATGCGTGTGGCTACGCTTTGGATCGGCAAGGAGAATGTCGATATGACCATGAAGGGTTTCACTGGCGAGGACACTTCGAAGACGGGCATGGAAATCCACGCCATCTCGTCGGCCCTCAAGCCAGTGGCCACCTGGGCGGCCAGGGATGGCATTCAAGAGTGTCGGGAGGCATGCGGTGGACATGGATACTTGAGGTCTTCGGGCTTGGGTGATCTGCGAAACGACAACGATGCCAATTGCACCTACGAGGGTGAGAACAACACACTTATCCAGCAGGCCTCCAACTGGCTCATCAGCTTGCGTCGCAACAACGCCGACTTTGTCGCTGTCTCACCTTTGGAAACGGTGTCCTTCCTGCAAAATATGGATGCCCTGCTGCAGAGCAAGGGCCAAGAGCGTACGCCAGCTGAGGTCTTGGATCCCAACAGTGAGTTTTCTAGACAAAAAAAACTTGAGCACATGAACCTCCTAATGAAACCACTTTGCTTTGCAGATCTTCTAAAGGCGCTCAACTGGCTTACCGCTTGGCAACTGGATAACACTGTAAAGCGAGTCGAGCAACAACAACGCGAGGGCAAGGATGCCTTCGAAACGCGCAACAACATACAGGTGTTTGCGGCCCAAAAGCTGTCTATAATCTATGGCGAGGTGAGTTGTTTGCCAGCTCAGAATGTACTTGTACTCAAATTATTTTTAAAATTTATATCTTTAGCGAACCATTTATTATATGTTCCATAAGTTTGTGAGCAACTTGCCCGCCTCGGCCGAAAAGGAGGTGCTGCAGCAAGTGCTCTCGTTCTACGGAGCGCATCTGGTCACCAGGTACTCGGCCATTTTCTACCAGGGCGGCTACTTCCGTGACAATTCTCATCTGGCATTGTATGAGCAGGGAATCTTGGGTTTGCTGTCTGTCCTCAAGAATGAGGCCATTGCTCTGGTGGACGCAATTGCTCCCACTGATTTTATTCTAAACTCGCCCCTCGGCATGAGCGATGGCAATGTATGTACTGGAAGACTCTGACAACTATGTGTTACACTAGCTAATATATCTGAATGCTTCACTGTATTCCCTGCAGGTTTACCAGCATCTGCAGCGTACAATTGTGTCGACCCCGGGTGTCTACGAACGCCCCCATTGGTGGCGGGATGTTACCTACAAGGATTACCTGAAGCGCGCCAAGTTGTAGTGATGCAATCACAAGAATTCACAAGAGTTCATAAAGATTACCTTGTTATCGTTGTACGTTTAAATGATATTAATGCACCTTTTATTAAAAAAGGTGCTACATAATTACTGACAGGTGAAACCTGAACATTTAAACATTCCAGCTTCATTGAAATAAGGCTCAGGATCAGCCTTTTATAGTTTGTACTTAATATTCAAAAACGCCGTAAGCTTAAAATACTCCAAACTCCACAGACATTGTTGCACGTATTATATAGCAATGATTAATAAAAACTTTATATATATTTTAGTATGCTTGGAATGGATAATGAAGGGAGTAATGCTACAAGAATGAATGGGATATGACTTTTTTATTATTCATTTACCTATCGTTTCTATGCTGATCAAAAAATATATCCTGCAAGTCTATAAAAATCAGCTTTTCATTAGTATAGTATATATATTTGTTATACGTACATACCAATTTCATAAGAAAGGCTCCCAATTAGAACACTTTGATTAGTTTGTGCATTGTTTACACGCTGTATTTCAAGCGATAGTTTTACATGTACAAATTTTGGTTACGTACTTAAGTCTAGATAAGATCACAGTCTGCAATTGTCATTAATGTTGTTCCGCTGAACAAACTACACGTACACAACAGATAAATTGTTTGCTAATTTTAAATAATAGAGAACGAAAGAAAATAAATATACCAATTTGCTAAGGGGTCAGGGAATAGATCCAGATCCGGACTCGTAGAATTCTGGCATTTGTGCGCTTTGCGATAAGTGGGGACTTTGTAGCTGGGCCAGGCGCTCGCCGGCTTCGGTCTCCGTCTGGATCAGCATGGGTATCTGCTGGGGTAGGTCGCTGGTGGCCCACAAGTACAGATCCAAGGTCTTTTCCGTGCAGTCAGCTATAAAGCGCACAAAGGGCCGAATGTCGCCCTCGTTGGCCAGCTTGAGGAAATGGTAGTACTTGCTGCGTTGCTGCTTCGGAATTATGACGGGCGGGTAGCCAGCTCGCATCAGAAGCGTGTTCATCAACAGACGCGAGGTGCGTCCATTGCCATCAATGAAGGGATGTATGTGGACGAGTTTGTAGTGGGCTAAAGCAGCATAGCTTTGAAGAGAAAACAAATTTGTTACCCTTTGTTTGGGGGTCCCTTTTGCCACACTTACTTGACGGGATGTAAACTGCTGCTATGTTCCGAGTTCAGCCAGCGCTCGAAACGCTGCATAAGAATTGCCAAATCTCCCGGACCTGGGGGCACATGTCCCCCGACATACACCTGGTTACGCCGGAATTCTCCGCCTTCAATGGGGTCCACATGTCCCAGAACTCGGCGATGTAGCTCGAGGATATCCTTGATGGTGATTTCCATCCTTAAAGAAATGCCAAAAATCATTCATTGAATCTTTATAATTATAGACAAACTTACTTTTGAACCAGGCTGGCATTGATGTACTTCATGGCCAGATCCATGCCAAGAATCTCATTATGCTCATCGATGGACTTGCCATCGACAGCCATTCGCGTCTCGAGAATGGATCGGGTTTGGGCCAGCGTCATGGTGTTACCCTCGATGCCCACTGAGTGATAGATATGCTGGAAGTAAGCTTCTTTTTTGGCCCTCCTCAGGGCAGCGCTGGACTCGTGAATGGCGGAAAGGGCGTCTCGCTTAAAGTCCAGTGACTCTAGTCGACGTTCGTCGAGCGTCTGGACTACGTCCGCCGTGCGCTGCCGATTCGCCAGTGCCTCGGTGTTGCTCGGATTGATGGTTAGGGCTTGGAAGTAGAACTGATCCGCCAAAACAATGTTGCGCTGATTGTGCTCAAGGAATTCTCCGTAGCGTAGAAGAACCTCGGGATGGCGGGGAGCCAGAGCCAGCGCGTGCTCAAACAGGCGGGCCGCCTTGTCATCCTTGCCCGCCAGGTACATGTCCTGGGCCAGTCGAAGAGCTCCCAACGCCTCATTGATGTTCGTCTGCTCCGCCTCCGTGAAGGTGGCACCGACGCTGTCGCTGACGCTCTTATCGTAAAACTCCTTGAAGGCATCAAGTTCTTCCACGGAGTATAGGGCGAACTCGTCGCGCGTTTGCAAGTAGTGGGCGGATGGCAGGTGGTGCAGCTGGCGCAGTCTCAAGCCCAGATTCGAGGAAGTCAGGGCATGCAAGGTGATGGCCGCCAAGCTGCCGGCAATGAAGAACAGGACCAGGCGGAAAGGATTGGTCTGCCTCGCAGCCCTCACTGGCTGTGGATGCTCCTCTTGCTGCTGCTCCTTGATATTCGGGCCCCCCATGCCGACGTGGCTTCTGCCAGTGTCAGGTAAACGCGATTTTTATAAACTTCGGACGTCAGGTACACATGGTACGGCGGAATTAAGCGCTGACAACCTGTGGGCTACTTATTTTTGCCAATTTATTTTTCCTGCCATGCTAAAAATCACCAAAAACCACGTATTAGTGGTGCTATCGATGTTTACAAAGAGGCGATACATCGAAACCGTTGGAAAATATCGATAAAAGCTGTTTAAATTTGATAAAGGTTTGAAACTTTGATTGGAACGTTAGCGTAATAAAACAACCTGATCCAAAAACGTAGTTTTTTTCATTCATTAAATTGTATGGGATGATGTGATCACACACGTTAGACGTAAATGTTCGCTCATCGATCGAAAGCGGAGCAAGTGATCGATGTACCCAAATACACTTTACTTAGTGCATCGCTCCTCTCTTCCTCTCTCTCTCTCTCTGATTCAAACTAATTAGCTAGGAACCGGAAATAGCTCATAAATTCAAATGCCTTGACATTTCTTGAACAATTGTGAACCTTCAACCCTTTGGCGAAAATAATTATTCTTCCAAAATGTTGCCCTCAAGCATAATGGTGAGAGTTTGGCGGAGAGGCTCTTGAAAAACTTGAGTTCTGGGCACGGGGATTTCCATGGCGGAGAATGGAGTTTAGATATTTTGCATAGTCATCTTGCGGTCGACTGCTAATTAGCCTAGCACCCGAAATAGTTCAAAAAATAAAGCTTCAATTTCTTAGAATATCGAAATGCCAAGAGCTTAAGGTCACGTCATTTGCATATTTCTTACCAAAAATGACTTGAGTCACAGCAAGAAAGCAAGTACCCAAACACCCCCTAGCGAATGCAGCGTCCTCCTACATTCAAACGTGTAACACAAGGCGCTATTTATCACTGTAGCTTATGAGATCACGCAATTGTTTATTATTTTGATCTGAGTGGAACCGAGATCATAGGGGATCGGAGATCCGGTGACCGGCTTGTGAATCACCTGCGGATACTATGAGGTCATTGAGAAATCTGGTTATCAGCCCAAAGCCGGTGTCTGTGGGTCATGACGTAGCCATTGATCTCCGCCGATATTCTATTTTTTGGCAATTCCCATTTATGATCTGCTGCTCGGCTGTCCCAGTAGTGATAACGACTCTTCTTCAGTGTGTTTATGCGATGCCCAGTTTCCTGAAATGCTGCTTCGAGTATATAATTCTAACGAATCGAATGTCTTAGATTCGTTCATTTCAATTTATATTCAGAATACTCGCATATTCACCGCATGAACATTGTGAGTCTCTCCCCAGCAGTTGATCTTGCTCTGTACGATCTCCTCATAAAAGCTTCGTGCTGAGCGATCGCCTGTCAGTTGCTGTTCGGCAGCGCCACGAGGCGCAACGGTTTTTCTTCCTTCGAAATACATCGACATTCGTAGTGAGTGAAGTGTCCTGAGCCAAATCTAATTACAACTGGCCTGCAAAATACAAGATTCGAAATTCCTCGTGAATAGTGACAAGTGAATAACGGTGTAAGTCATTATAATAGTTCGGTTCTTTGATAATTATGTGTCAAGAACAAACCGAAATGACTTGGGAAAATATTTATAAATAACCTGCAACAGCCTGCAGTGGCCACACAAATGTGTTCCAGAAATAAAGAATACTAAATTGGGAGAACTCGTGTAACTCATGTACCAAAAGGTGTTGACTTTTTAGAATTTGAGAGCCAAAGGAAATGTGTGATCTTACTGAGGGTCGGGCCCCAGAAAATTACACGTCGCCAAGTCCATGAGACTTATCAACAGACACCGGATGGAAAGGGAATTCGGGGTCACCTAAGGTTAATGGTTGACAAAAAAAGAAACAAATAAGACCAAAATTGAACAGTGAGCCTCAAATTAAAGTCGTTTTGTCATGGGCTGGACCGGGTAGTATGCGCATTATCTCTTGATTAACCTTTGACGACCCATAGTCCGGAGCTGGTGCGATAATCCCCTGATACAGCCTGAACTAGATTCAACATCGCCAGTTATCAGCACCAAAAATTCTCGTACTTGGGCACAAAAAATAATTTCAGTTTTCTGCGAAGAATTTTTTCCTACTCTAGTATTTACTATTTATGAATGACACAGTTTCTGTTTGCTCCTCAGATATTGCGGCATGAAGGCTCTGGGAGTGTGCGCCCTGCTATTGGCGGTCGCCAGCTGCCAGGGCTATGGCGGTGGCTATCAGAGGTCCAGCTACAGCTCCAGCTCCAGTTCATCTTCATCTTACGGCAGTGGACAAACCTCGGCAGTGCCGCATATCAACGAATGGGGCTACTCGCACTTCAACGAGGTCCGCGAACTGGCTAATCAACTGAAGCAGAAATTTAACTCCCTTTCTCAGGGATCGTCTATCTTTGGCTATGCATCCACTTGGAATCGTGAGTAGCTTTGAGAATTGGAAAATATATTTTTAGCATTAAAGAAAAACATTTTGTGCAAACGTTTGGATTCTTAATTATTCAATTCAAATTCTAGCACCTTTTCGGGATTAACATGTTGCTTACTATATTACAATTTAAATATTCGTTTAAATATATCTTTGGACATAAGAAAAATCCTTATAAACCTTTGTATAAAGTTCTTAAAAATTATAATTAAAAATAGCAACTATTTTTACAATATAATTGTACACACAAAGTTTTCAGTGTATGTTTACTGAATTTTACAACCGAACAACAATTCCTTTGGACCATTTTTCCAAATTGTAACCCATCTTTCCTTTCCAGCTGATATTTTGAAAATTAGCGGAAAGAGCGGAAGCCAGCTAGATGCTGTCACCTCGGAGATCAGCCAGCAGTTGGTGGCAGACATGCGCCAGGGCATAACCAGTTACAACACCATTCGACAGCCGAACTTCTTTGAAGCAAAGGCGGCCGAGCTGCTGGAGCGTTTCGCTGGAGGGGAGAGTGCCAGCCTACAGCAGGCTGTGGACCTGGGTCCCTTCCAGCCAGTGGACTTGAGTGGTTTCGACGAGGTCAAAAACTACGCCTATCCCGCCGAAGTAAAGGTAATCGATGGAAAGACCTATGTTGTGCACCGTAACTGCACAGAGGCCACCAAGTTGTCCGGCTACGGTGGCTCGACCCAATTAATCCAGGGATTCCTTGGACAGGGCCAGACATCAATTCCTCTTGGCAGCACTACGACGACCATCACGAAAAAGAAAACCATCCGCGACTGGGTCCGGGAGAACCAGGAGCCATCCGTGGTCGGCTACAACTCAGTTGTAAATATAGGCCGGCAGGCAGACAGCAGATCATATAGCTCGCCCATGTCCAGTCCCAGTTTCTTTGGCCAGATCAGCTCCTCGTCGCCCGGAGCCAGCTCCACACTATTCATTCGAAGCTTTAATAAGACGACTACAACACATCCGGATGGAACTAGCTCAGTAGATGGCTCCGAGTCGCAGCAGCGCTGGCAAGACGGGAAGTTGGTGTTCGATCAGCAGGTGCCCTTTGGGCAGACAGCGGTGCCGAGGGATGAGCAGTGGAAGCGCGAGGAGCGTGAACGCCTTTTCTGGTACCTAACTACGCCCCAACGACTTGAGGACTGGCAGCGTCAGCAGGAGGATCGCCTGCTGGGAGTTGTCGAGCGTTACAAGATCACTCTGCCTATGCTCGAAGAGTTCCACCGCCGTGAGCTGGCCCGGTTCCAGGCTTTGATGGGTCAATACCAATCACAGGTTCAGGACGCCAGTGCATGGCAGAGACAAGAACGCAGTCGCCTGGATTGGCTCATCCACCAGAATGGGTTTTCGGCTCAAGACATCCAGCGCTGGCAGACCGAAAACGATCGTAAGTTAGCCCAAGCGGCTCAGCAACACGGCATCAGCAAGGATCAGCTTCAGCAGTGGCAGCGGGAGGAGCTGCAGCGCATGCACATCCACTTCAACCAGGTGAACCAGTCGTTGGCGCCGCAGGTCCCAATTGTGCCATCTCAGAGCACATACAACTACCCCTCCTCCAGTTCCCTGACCGAGGATAATACCAAGGAGCAACAGCGCCTGGAAGAGCTGATTCGGCAGCACAACGCTACGATCGCCGCTCTGCAAAACTCTATTAGGACCGACCAGCAGCGACTGAAGGACCTCTCAATTAAGTATCAGGGCGATATGCAAAGCCAGACTCAGTGGTTGCGCGGGGAGGTGGCTCGAATCGGAGACCTGATCAAGGACCAAAACGAACAGGTGTCGAAAATTACCGCCTGGCAGAGCTCGGAGCGTTCTCGCCTGGAGAGCATCCTGCGTCAGCATCGCGGCTCTGTGGGGGAACTGCAGCAGCAGATAAACCAAGATCGCTCTTACCTTCAGAACCTGGCCACCAAATACCGAGTCAGCGTGGAGGAGCTGGAGAAATGGCAGCACGAGGAGCTGCAGCGCCTGCAGGTGAATGGTCAGAAGCAGCTGGAGGGTCACATTAAGGACTGGCAGGTCAGCGTGAGCACCAACCTTCGCGACATCGTGGGCCAGAACCAGCTGACCATTGAGGAGTTCCAGAACTCCATTATCAACGATCGCAGCCGCCTGGAGCAGATGGCGCGCATGTACAAGGTGAAGGTGGAAGAGATAGAGCAGTGGATCAAGAGCGAGCTTAAGAAGTTCCAGTCGGAGGGTCTTCTCAAGGAGGTTGAACAGGAGCTGGTTTTGTGGCAGCAGAAGGAGCGAGAGCGCCTGCAGGCTATCGTGCAACAGAACTCGCTGACCGTAGACCAGCTGGAGGTCAAAATAAAGAACGACCAAGATCACTTCTTCAAGCTGGCCGACAAGTACAAAATCCGCGTCGAGGATATCCAGGACTGGCTGAAGCAAGAGCTACTGCGGCTGCAGAGCGAGGGCCTTGTCAAGGCGGAGTCCTTGAAGGACTGGCAGCAGACCGAGCGCGCTCAAATCTCCTTGCTGGTGCAGCAAAACAAGTACTCGCTCGAGGAATTGGAGCGTAAGTTGCTGGCTGATCGGGCCCGCTTGCAGGACCTGTCCGGTACCTATAACGTCAAGGTGTCCGAAATCGAGCAATGGATTAAGTCGGAGGGCGATCGCCTCCAGCGCGAGGGTCAGTTGAGAATGGAAACCCAGCTGAACAATTGGCAGAAAATCGAGCGTCAGCGCCTGCTGGATCTAATTAACAAAAATAACTTGTCCATCGAGGAGATCGAGGCCAAGGTCGGCAAGGACCAGACGCATCTCTACAGCCTGGCCCAACAGCACCAGGTGCGCGTGGAGGAGATCGAGCAATGGATCAAGCAGCAAATTCAGAAGTTACAGGACCAGGGTCTAATTGAGATGCAAAAGCTGAAGAACTGGCAGCTCGAGTGGCGCGGTAATCTCACCAACATGGTGCAGGATCGTGACTTCACCGTCGAGGAGTTCCACAAGTGGCTGCTCAAGGATCGCGCCCAACTCCAGAGCCTGGCTATGCAGCACAACGTGCAGATCGAGGAGATCGAAACGTTTGTCAAGAAGGAGGAGCAGCGTTTCATTGGCATGGGTCTGTTGAAGCCCAGCGAGAAACTGACCAACTGGCAGGAGGTTGAGCGCCTGCATCTTAAGAACCTGGCACAGCAGCAGTACAAGTCCACCGAACAGCTGGAAGCCCGTCTTCGTCAAGATCGTGAGCTTCTGGAGCGCCTCGCCCGCCAGTACAGCGTCCAGGTGGAGGAAATCGAGAGTTGGATGAAGCAAGAGCTGGCGCGCATGCGTGACGAGGGCCAGCTGCAGATCGACAACCTCACCTCCTGGCAGCTGGCTGAACGGGAGCGTCTGGAGGCCCTCATCAAGCAGAACAAGCAATGGAGTGCCGAAGACTTAAAGGCCGAACTGGAGAAGGATCGCGAGCACATGCAGACCATGGCCTTCCAATACCACACCTCCGTCGAGGAGATAGAGCGCTGGCTCCAGACTGAGATTGAGCGCTTGAAGCAGCAGGGAAAGCTTAACATCGAGCAACTGACCGCCTGGCAACGTACCGAACAGCAGCGAATCCTATCACTGCTTCAGCAGCATTCCAACATCACCCTGGAGCAGTTCCAGGCCAAGGTGGGTACTAAAATACATATATTTAAGAATAAAAGTATTGAGATTATCTCTTTTGAATTTAAGGTACACAACGATCGTCGCTTCCTGATAAGGCTTGCCGGCCAGCACCACGTGAGTGTTGTGGAGGTGGAGAATTATGTAAATCAGGTCATCGAGGACTTGCGCAAGAAGGGCCAGTTCGAGATCGAGCAACTGCAGACTTGGCAGATAGTGGAGCGCGACTACATCAAGAGTCTGATTGCGGAGTACAAGAACGGGCTGTCTACGGCGGAGTACGAGCAAAAGCTCCTGGCAGATCGCGCACATCTCAACCAGCTGGCCGATCAGTATCGCTTGAACGTGGAACAGATCGAGGAATGGATGATTGCTGAGCTGAAACGTCTGAGGGGCAGCACAGAGGAGTCTCTAAAGAGCCTCAGCGCCTGGCAAGTGTCTGAGTTGGAACGTCTGCAAAACTTGGTTAAACAGCAAAACCACCTTACTTTTGTCGAGTTTGAGATGGAATTGAATCAAGAGCGCGATCGACTGCAGAAACTGGCCACTCAGTACTCGGTCAACGTGGCCGAGATTGAAGAGTGGCTGCGCCAGCAACTTATTAGCCTGCGGTCCACCGGTCAGGCCAAGGTAGAGAACCTTTCCAAGTGGCAGGTGGAGGAACAGCAGCGCCTAATCGAGCTCCTTTTGAAAAAGCAGCAGGAGCTGCCATACGAACAAGTGGAGCGCGAACTTACCCAGGACCATGCCCGTCTAGAGAGTCTTTCGCAGACGCACCACGTGGGCATCGATCAGGTTGAGAATTGGTTACGTGAAGAACTGAGGCGCCTGCAGAGCTCTGGCCTGGTCCAGTTCGAGCAGCAGACTCAATGGCAGCAGAAGATCAGCAACGGATTCAACGACTGGCTGCAGCAGCAGCGCAACGGGGCCAGCTATCAGGAGTTTGTGGACTTCCTTAAGCGTGACAAGCAGCGCCTGGACAGCATCGCCTCCGACTACCATGTGACTGTGGAGCAGGTGGAGAAATGGGTAAGTTTTGAACCTTGTTGTCTCTTTGTTGTCAAGCCAAGTCGGTAATTGTAAACCAAGTATAATTTGAATTGATTTTAGAAATAGTTTTTTAATGTTTATCCCTTGCCTTACAGGTTCAAAAGGAAGCGGCTCGCCTCTCGGTCATCGGTGTGATCGACCGCCCACAAGGCAACGTAAAGTATGAGGAAATTGTCAACATCTGGGATGAGAAGCCTGCGACTGTTTGGCAGCAAGATCTGGTGACGCGTCTGCGTACTATTGCCCAACGCCGTCCCCTGACCAAGGTAGAGTTCGAGAGCTACTTGATCCGTAACAAGCCGATCTTCGAGGAAATCGCTCGTCAATATCATGTGACCATCGAAGACATCCACCTATGGCTGGACCAGACCGCCCAAAAAGAGGGCCTAGTATCGACGGAATGGCAATCTAAGGAAAGATTACATATCGAGGATCTGATAGTTCAGCAACAGAGAAAGCAGCAGAAGTGGACCATCGATGAGTTGAAGCTCCGCCTGAACAACGACCATCGGCACTTGCAAGACGCTGTCGTGCAGTACCATGTGACCATCGAAGAACTGAAGGCCTGGTACACGGATGAGCTTAATCGGCTGTTGGCGCAGCGTAGGATCGACCAAGGCTTCGGTCTCTCTTGGCAGACCATTGAATTGGAGCAGATCTACAAAGCGGTTTTGAACAACCCGAGCATTGGTCGCCAGGGTCTTGAGCAGCTTTTGTTCAGTGACAGCGAGGCCCGTGCCGCACACTACCGCATTACCGTCGAGGAGTTGCACCTGTTCATTCAGGAGCAGCTGCGACGCTTCTCTAATTTGGGTCTTTTCGTAGACACTGGAAGGCAGGCCAGTAAATGGCAGGATCAGGAAAGAAAGCGATTGCGTGAGGTGGCCACCGGCGTGGTGATCACCGAGAAGGAACTGCTCGAGTTCATCTCGCAGGATACGGCCTTCCAAACACAGCTGGCCCAGCTTTACCAGGTTGGCCTTGTCCAATTGGCGCCGGTGCAGCGCATTTTTGTCGGAAACATGGTGCGCGAACAGTTGTTGGAGGTCCGCCGCCTGAACAACCTGACCTCCTGGCAGCAGCGGGAACGCGACCGCCTGTACGAATTCATTGGCACACAGAACATGACTCAAACTCAGCTCAGGAGTTGGCAGAGTCAGGATGGACAGTTGTTGCAGGACTTCGCCCAGAAGTACGAAATCTCGGTGCAGCAGCTCAAGGAGTGGCAGAAGCAGGAGCTCGAGCGAATCAACCTGGTGGCACGCTACTACGGTATGACCCAGAGCGATCTACAGAAATTCCGCGAGGGTGAGCTGCGGCACCTGGCCTATATCAATCACCGTCAACTCATGGCTGCCGCCGAGGCTCAGAACTGGGAAAAGCGTCACCAGTGGACACTGGGACGCCTGCAGAGTCGCTACGGCAAGTTCGGCCAAGAGCTGGTCGTTTGGCGCCGCACCCTGTTCCTGCTGAGCCAAGGCCTTATCGACCTGCCCTCGGGCGGCAGTGCTGACGGCGGCTATGTGGTGGATCCGGGCAGCACCAATGCCACCGCCCACTACAAGCCAATCTTCTCAAAGGATCGTGGAGATCAGCCGCCGCATACGTACGAGGAGAACTACGACGAAGGCGATGAGCCAGGATTGGAGGGCGAGACAAAAGCACCGCCACTACCACGTCCCCAGCCCCCTCGCCCATCCCCCTATGTGAGCACGCCTACTCCTCCCTTGCCCTACAGCCGTGGTGGACCTTCAGGCGGATACGAGTACCGCCGGCAGGACTATACCTTCAATGTTCCCGTGGGCACAGCATCGGCGTCGGCCAGCGGTGGTCCAACTGGATCCTCGGCTAGTGCCAGCGCGTCTCTGGGAAAATGGAGTCGGGCTTCGGGAGATGAGCCATCGCAGCAGGTAGAGGATCTCGGTCAACAGCAGCAGGAGGAGCTTGGCTGGAACGCAAACCTGGAGGATCTTGGCCAACAGCAACAGGTAGTAGACTCTGACTGGGACTCGCAGCAGCAATCGGAAGACCTTGGGCAGCAACAGGTTCAAGTCGAAGACCTAAGCGGAGATCATTTTGGACCGACACAAGGAAACAGGGCCAACACTAGGGGTCAGCTTCAAGAGCAGCCGGCAAAGGTAAGTTTTCCATTTAAGATAAAACAAAAACCTTCACTAAATGGTTAATCTCCAACAGCAAGAGGAGGTGGAAGCCACCGCGGAGCCCTCGTTCTGGGAGAAGCTCAAGGGAAAACTCGGCTAGAGAGGAAACCAATCAACTGCCAAATAGCTACGGGCTCAGGCTCGTCAAAGCTAAAATTATATAGTTTAGAATGTTTCTTACTTAACTAGAAAAACTCGCAATCAATCTTAAATCTTTTAAATGTTTACAATTGTTTCTTTAGTTACTTATTTAAGTAAATAAATGAGACTTCAAATGTCCCATGTGTTCCTGAAATTCAACCGATTTTACTTTAAAAAGAAGCTAACTTTTTAGAGAGAGTTTTGGGAGAGATATAATATATCTATCTACAAATACCCTTTCTGAATGTCTTTCATTAAAATTCGGAACGGAATTCATTGGTCTAAAGAGAAATAATAATAACACCTGATAACTCTGGAAAGAACGTTGAATTGCTCTTCCTTTTTAATACTATGAATGGTGACTTCTCTATGCCATAGCTATAAAGTCATAAGTAGTTAACTTATTCACATTTTTAAATAGAAAATGATGCTTATGTTGCCACTGAATCTAACTTCCTGCTGTTAGATTGATGATCACTAAAGTCAAATGCCTGTTAAATTTTTAAAATGAAAAACATGAAATATGTTTATTTTTTTTTTTAATTTTTACTAATTAAGTTCATATGTATATACATCAAGTAAGGTGCTTTGTTTTACATTTTTCAGATACTATATTAATTATCTTAGGTAGGCTGCCAAAGGTAAGTTTATTTATCTTGAATAAAAAAGGTAAGCAAATTTAGGCAGATTGCCTATAAATTGAATATAAATAGAAATGTGATTTCCCCCAAACTAAGGCTAAGGATGCTTTTTATACGTATCGTAAGAAACAATAATTTCTTAAATGTTGCTGCAATTACCTTAAAAAACTGATTTGTTCCAATTTTAAATAATAGATTCTATAAAATTCCTAGTTTCATTCACAGAGTTCTAAAACAACAAATTGGTTTTGAATCCAAAACTTGCCAAACGAGCTTGGTATATGGGACATTTTGCACTCTTTTCTCCCGCCGCACACCTTCTTAATACCTCTTAGAACAATCCTATGTACATCTCCCTCCTCTCCCTTCGGCCAATCAACTCAAGCGGGCTTCCACTTCAGCATCGCCCCCGAAGTGAGTGGCTCGGAATTGAAGGCCTTCGGTCAGCTCCTCAACAGCCACCGCTCTCATGCTCAGTCCTTCGCCAGTTTCCTGCAGCACATGATGCTTCAGCTGCTCGATCTCATACAGCAGTTTGAGGGTCTCGTCGTCCAGATTGTCGTCCTCCAAACGCAACTGACGCTGCTGCTCTCGCTCCTCGTCCACGTCCCATTCCAGAGACTCCGGTGTTGAGATGTGCGACCAGGAGTTCTGCGTCGACGAACACAAGGAGGTGCGCGTGAATGAGCCGCCGTGCCGCTGACTGCCCATCCGCCCATGTCGCGCCACTTGTCGCCCATGGATGCTCGCCATAGTGGCTACGGTCGCCAGCTGTTCGAGGGAGACGTAGCGCGGATTATGCGAAGTTGGGGGTGGCTCCTTCTGCTGGAGCTGGTACTGGCGCAGTTGCGAGTACTCGTGCTCCCACTCGAGATCCAACGAGGAGCTGGCCCGTGAGGTGGACATGCGGTGGTAGGTTCCGTGTCCCATCTCTGTCTCCCTGCTGGTCGTGGCCTGTGCATTGAGCAGCTTACAGGCGTCTAGGTTCTGCATTTGAATGTCTGGCATGGCGCTGTTGGGGTTGATAAGAGTGAGAAGATCCCTTAATGCGGTTTTTGGGGGCTCAACCAACCTGTTACTCTGCAGCTTGGCGTAGCTGGGCTGCTGCTCCCAGTACTTGTCCAGAAATTGAGGGCAATGCCGCCTACGTCGGGACCTCAGAATGCGGTAGAAAAGGCCGTGATTCTGGCAGCGTTGACTGCTTGCAGTCGAAATCAGCTCTTGGCCGTGTCTGTCTGCCTTAACACTTTCCCTGGCCAAGGCCCCGGGCCTTCCGCGATGCCTGAAAGTAAGAAAATTGTAAATAAAATAACAATATAGAAAAATATAGAAGGGTAAGGTGGAAAGGCCATTATTTGCTTTTAATACAAAAATATACATTTTAATTATAAATAATTGGAAATAATGGGGAAGTCTCGAAATCATTTAAGCAATTCCCTTATCAATTTATTTCAGAAAGCAAAGCTTAATAAAATGTTTCTTATAAAGTATAGCTTTTAACTTGGAATCGTTTACCTAAACAGCATGAATTAGAATATAATTATGTTAAAATAATAAACAAATAAACCAAAATTGTCTCACTTTCCTATATTATTTTTGTTTACATTTTCAACAGTAAACTAGTGGAGTTGCCAGTTTAGACCTTGATAAATTGGTTACTTGAACTTCCCACCTACTAGGGCCTAGAAGCCCACCTATGGAGCATTGTTGGACAGCGACCACCTTCAGGATGTTGACCCGCGTCGACAGCAGTCAGTTAAGGGGGCCATTATGCTCGCCTATGCAGCTTGGACTGGCCGCAGAGCCAGTGCTAAGTGACCACCCACCCGACCCAGCGCACCTCCTAAACCCATATCGATTGCTCAGTCAGCACCGGTCTGCGCTTATTGGATTTGTGGCACACTTTTATGCGCGCCGCAACGCAAAGTCAACGAAATTAAATTTTAATTAACTGGCTGGGTCGCACAGCGAAGATGGGTCTTACCAGCGGCAGATATTGGTCACGCAGGATGCGGAAGAGGCTGTGGAAGAGGAGGACGCCGAGGAGCTCGAGGGGGTAGTGGAGTTGGAGTTGGAGGCGACAGCTGTGGCGGTAGCGCAGCTGCCAAGACATGAACCCATTGAACTGAACGCTGATCCTGCTGCAGTCCTGCGGGTACCTATAACTTCACGGAGTCACCTGCCCCGCAGTGGGGCTCATAGCGCGGCCTATTGCGCCAGCTGCACACTTCACTCGTCACGGGCTCGGGTCAAGGCTCCGCTGGCCGGACTCCGTGGCTCTGCACTTTTTCAGCTATTGTTTTGACTCCGGAGTGCCTCTGAAACGCAACTCCACACACACACTGGCCTAGCGCGTAACTGTTTTACATGCGCCGTGGGTCGACGTCACTGGGTGACGCACCCCGCGTCGATGTTGCAGAAGCGCTCGGGAAGCCTAGCGACAGAGTTACTGTTTGGCCCGCCAGCTGACGACGGGGTGTGGGCGGGAACGCCGACTTTTGACAGTCAGCTGTTGGGCCGAGTGGCAAAAGTCAAAAGGGAGCCAGCATCGATACGTCGCAGCTTTGGTTAACTAGGCGGATGAAAGCTACGGTGGACTTCTAAAGTCAAAGGCCAGCTTTTGGCCGGAAGCTTTACTGCTTGCAGGGGAAATAACGGTAAATGTACGGGGATAACAGCTGTTAAACCAGGACACGGATTGGGGTAAGGCTGTAAAGTAATTTGTTCAGGTGTATGCTGTCTTCAGGTGAAATGTTAGACAGCTTTAGCCCTTTTGTTATAGAACTGTTGGCTTGGTTTTACATAATGTTATAAACAGTTTAAAACTACATGTATCTGAAAGATACTTGTTCGCGAATGTAATGCTAATCAACAGAAATGTAATCAAAAAGGATCTCCTTTGCCTGAAAGTAAAATTGTTCTAATAAAACAAGAAAGAAAGCTAACTTTGGCCAGCCAAAGTTTGTATACCCTTGCAGGTAACAATTAAAATATATCATAACTAAGCCGAAAATGCATTAATTTCGATTCGGAAAGCAGCTTTGTGTTAGTTTTCATTAATTTAAAAAAACTACATACCAAATTTAAAATTTTAAGAAATCAAAATGTTTGGCCATTTTTGCTAATTTTAATGATGTAACCCCTTATCAAATTTCGCAAAAATGACCAAAAAATCGATTTCATCAGGACATGTCTAGAAAGATTCGCCTGTTAATGCTGATCAAGAATATATATGGTTTATGGGGTCGGAAATGATTCCTTGACTTAGAAAATTATTATTTTGTATTATAAAAGCTGATTTTTTATATTAAAAAACTTCTTGATTTTTTTTTTAAATTAAAAATATCATAACTCGGCCAAAAAAGCATTAATTTTAAATCGGATAACTGTTCTGTGCAAGATTTTCTACAGTTAATAAATCTGCATACTTCATTCTAAAATTCTAAAAATGCAATTTTTTATCAAAATCAAAAATTTTAATGATGTAACCCCTTATAAAATTTTGCAAAAATGGCCAAAAAATCGATTTATTCCTGACATATCTAGAAAGATTCCCCTATTGATGCTGATCAAGAATATATATACTTTATAGGGTCGGAAACGTCTCCTTCACTGCGTTGGAAACTTCTGACCGTAATTATAATACCCTGCAAGGGTATAATAAATAAATATTGTATTATGGGGGTAAAGCTATTTTCTATCAAACTACTTATAATTTCTTTAATTTTTTAATTAAATGTTATTTATAGAGTAATGTATAAATGTTGTTTGGCCTTAATTCATGGTCCTTTTTAGTAATAATTCATATATTTATATAAAATCATCAATTCAATATATAGTTTTTATTCCTTTACTTGTCGGATTACCATTTAAAGAACATTCTTTCCAGATATTTCTTCTTTGCTTTAACTTAAAGTCAAAAGCCTTGCTTTTAAATAAATGTAAAATAATGTACATTAAGTTCAAATACTTGGTTCTTAATAAACTTTATAGGTCCAATTCTTATATATGTAAGGGTTTCTTTATGCTTATTCTCCAAGTTGCTCTAAACGTCTGCTTTACTTTACTTAAACGCTGTTTAGTTGTAAGTTTCTTTGATTTAAAAACACAATGAAATATGGATGATTTTAATGTGCAATCTTTCATTTATATGTGTACATGTGTTGTGCTTTAAGAGTTTATGACTTTTCATAGTCTTTTCCTGGTATTTGCTGTTCTCAAATTGTTTCATCAGTTTCCACGATCTTTGACTTTCCCCACACATTTCCCTAGCATGACAATCATAAAATTCGCCCTGCTGCATTAGTTCGAGGCACTAAAAGTGCAATCAACTCCCCCCAGAACGCAACAGGGACTGTTAGGACTGCTAACATGTGCTGTTAGCTGGGCAGAGCGGGTCTTAAAGCAGATGTAAGCCAGCATAAATCACGGCCAACCGCAACATTTGTTTATCTTTTTAACATGCCGCAGCCGAAGTGCTCAGACGATGCGTCGCGACGTCCCGAGAACCAGCCTCGGATGCTGGGAGCTCGGCCGCTTGCTCGGCCGTTCGCACCGTCTCGTGTCAGTGTCAAATCGGCTGTCGTTGTGTGCAGTTCCGCGAGCATCCGGTTCCGCATTCGAGTTCGCATCCGTTTCCGCCGTCGCTAAGATAGTCGTACGCGTTTTGGAGCGTTTGTGTTGTTTTCGCCAGTCGAAATAGTTAATAATAATATTTTCGATTGCCTTGCCCCCCAGTACACAGATGCGAATTGTTGTCTTTAATCAACTTCTGTACGAGTGTTTATTTTCAATGCACCGCCTCTGCATCGGCCTCTTCCTAGCAAAGTTGTTGGTTTTGTGCCGGCGTCCCTGCGTCTGTCGCGTGGTCGCCTAATTAAATTGTGTTGCAAAAACGAAGAACGGCAGAGGGAAGCATGAAAATCCGTTGTTCACCCGTCTCGTTGTTCTATTTATAAATTGATTTGCTTATACTTCTTGTAAACTGCAGACACGCATCCAGCTCCCGGACATTGCCACGGTGAGTTATTAGTCGAAGAACGGGGGATATGGCTGGAGTATAGGAAGATAATACAATGCAGCAAATGCAAGCTCAGTTTTCACTGCAAAATCTAAGAAGTATTGAAAATATCTATATATATCTGCACCCTCGGTTGTTTATTAATGTGTTGCGGCTTCCCAACATTCAACAGCCCATTGTTCACTGTTTCAATTTAGCTAAAATTATAAATATATATAGGACCTAATGAATGAGTTATAATTTCACAAATAATCTATTAAAAATTAACAATAATAATCGCAACATTTAAAAATAATTTAGGTATCTAGACATTTTTCTTATATGCACAAGTTTTATAATCATTTGGTTCATAGCTAAGATCGTTTTTGTTTCTACACTTTATTTGCCTAAAACATTATTCATGACTTACAGAATATATGTATTGAACAATCAACCACTGATCCTTAGTGCTTGCCAAATAATATTTAAAATTTTAATACCCAAAGGGGTTATCAAAATTCAATTGAATAAAATATTTCCGTTTGCGTTCTAAGGTAATTAATGTTTAGTTATGTCGGTATTTTATTTATTGATATTAAATTTAAATATTAAATTTATAATATTTCAAATCAGTTAGTTGTCAACAGAAGTTAGAAGTTTAAAGTTAGCATAGTTTTCCAAAAATAGGGAATTAACTGTCAATAAAAAATACAGAGATTGCAAACATTCAAAATTTTACCATTAAATGACCATGAATACAAATTTGTATACATTTTAGAAGAAATCAGAGATAAACATTACCATATATTAATCTGTCTGTCTGTTTAATGGGTGCTTGGTCGCATTATTATCATGTTCCGCGATATATGACTTTGAATTACCTCATAAACTGCCATCGCCATCGTTGAAGTCCAGCAGTTACCGCCCAAGCATTTTCCACCTCGACATCGTCCGGCTGAGTTATTAAACATTTTGCTCCCTCTTGTACTGTTTATTTATGCTGCCTTTTGTAGTACGCCTTCATTGCGCGGCTTCCGTTGGGCGAAAGGAAACTGCAGCTGCAACGGGTAACTTATCAAAGTCTTGTTCATTTCGTCCCCCCTTAGCTTTTAGTCCGGCGTATTAACTTCCTGGGATTTACTGTCTTTGAAACTAAGTTAATGCGCTCACACCATTGTGAGTCTGTGTTTGGCTTGTACATAACAAATACTGAGTGTTTAACATCAGAGGAATAATCAGTTAAATTCAATAAAAAATCGGGCAACTTTTGGTGTATAGTTTTCTTGGAAATTTAAAAGTAACAACTCCATACAGAACCTTATTCCTTCCTTGTAGATATGTAATATTTAAATATATCTGAGAATTACTTGTATTTATATTCCTTTTCTTAAGATATATTATAACACAGCTGCGGTAGACTGACAAAATGGAGAAAGAAAGTCAATGAGGAGGAGTAAATATAAATATACGACCTCTATTTTTGAAAATACGAATGCTGATCATTTGACCTTATCGTTTCGAATTTCATTGTGCCTTCAACAAAAATAAAGTTAGCCTGAATGCTTTGAATAGATGTCTAAATATCGTAAATTAAAGTTTATTTGATCTTTTTCGAAAAATGTTTGTAACCGGCAAGTATTGTCTTTCCATAAGTAAAGTTTCTATTAGTTGAAATATGTACATTTTAGGAAATAACTTTTACTGATTAAGTTTATTTATAAATTTTTAAAATATTTTTATAAATGTTAGGGGTTTGTTATTGATTAATTTTGAATTTTTGTAATTGTCTTGGTTTTTTTTCAAGAACTCCATAAAATGGAATAGTTTGTATCTGTTATCCCAGCGTTTTGTGCCTTGATATTCATTCTTTCTGCCTTCTAAAAGTCCTTGCAAATGTCCAAAATGAAGACCCTAGCTTGGGCCTTGAGATGGAGACTGCTATTAGGGGCAAATGTTGATTTTTTATCAACACTCCTTTGCATAATTCCCAGAGAAGCAAATACGAATTGGAGATAGGTCACTTGGGAATGCTGTCACTGAGCGCATATAAAAAGAGCTTTCTTTATTCGCTACAAATCATGAAAAAAAATCTTTCCAATTCAGAAAAACATATATATTGTAGTTGTATATGTTATAAATTAAACTCTACAACATTTTAGAACTTGTATGTATAATTTTGCATTATTTATTGCCATAAAACTAAAGTTTAAGTGTAATGTTCGAGGTGGTCTCTCTCACGAAACCGCCAAAGACGTCGAGAAAGTTTATGATTCTGGAGACCAGAAGTCATCGTCTTTTCGCATTCACAGCAACTCCATTGACGGTGATCAATTCTGTTGGCTGTGATTTAAGTGCGCTTAAGTTTTGTGGCGAAAAAGGTTGCCACCGCTCCAGCTCCAACAATCCCTATAATTTGCATTTCACTTTTGCGTGAGGCGAGAGAAAATGTAAATTGAT